CATAATTGCATAGCAGGCAAACTCAAGCCACTGAGTGGAGTGTTTCCCAAAGCAAAGTGGAAGTGACAGGCGGGAAAAAAAAGCCAGCGAGAGAAATCGAAGAAGAGCAAGATGGTGCAGGAGGCAACATTCCATTGTCCCACACGATTAGATTAATATCCTGAGAAATGGGTATTTAGTGGCATATTCCCTCTGAACAATGAGGCAGAACCTCAGGCTCATGGATCCAAATACAGTCAGCATGCAGGGAAAGGGAAACACAGCAGCACAGGCGCTTCCAGTGGCCACCCCCACTGTCCCCCGTCACCAGACGTTTGCTAGTTTCCGAGTCTCTGTGTTCGTCTCCATTTTAGCCTGAAGTGCCTCTCCTAAGCATTAATTGCTAATGGTAAAATCTGCAAATTTAAATATGCTGGTAATTTTGGGATTTTGATCTGATGAACAAAGTCCCTCAAAATCTTCTTTGGGCTGAATGAGGGTTGCTCCCCTAATTCTGAACCTGAAGATTCCACATAGACAAATCCTGCATTAATTTGCCTAATCCTCCTTAATACCATTTAAACTAGTGGCTACCATCATATTTTACAGCAATACATTCCCTTAATTAATTGCGCACTGTGTGAAAAATTGCTTCTTTTTGTTTTCCTGGATTTACTACTGGCCTATTTCATTTTGTGAGCTTGAGTTGTAACACAACAAAGAGAGAAAAATCTCTCTACCCAGCTTCTCTGCACCACATATCCTTTTATGTTGAGCTTCCCTGAAGTAATCTTTTAATTTAAAAAACTAAGAGCTGAAGATAGTCAATTAACAAATTTGTACATGTATATGCAAAGTGCAACATTTTTAAAGGTGTTTGCAATTTTTAAAAAATCTGGATTAATCAAAATCAATATAGCTGCTGCTGTAGTCTAATCACAATGTTAGAGTTGGCAGACCATCTGCTTAGCACAGCATTGTTAGTTACAGGGACCTATTGAAAAGCTTATAGAAAAACAGAACTCCAGAAAAGTGCCTGAACTAATTTAATGAGACACCAGAAATGGTTTCATTACCTGGATGCCAAACTCAGTTCATAATTACAAGTCAGAGATTTTCTTGCTCATGATGTGGTCAGTGCAGCAGTGAAATGCTCTGATTCAGAGCCTCCGCCAAGGAAGGAATACACAACATGGATGAAAATTGAACACTCAGTCCAAAGAGCACTGTATATATATGAATATCAGGGTTACAAACAGGACTTAGTCACTTCTAGAATATAGGCCTGCACTTGCCAAGAAAACTGTGTGTGAGTGCAGGGAATCAAGTGTAGTAGAAGTACCTTAAAACTCCCTAATATAAATTAACATGGCAAAAGAAGCAGAATTCACTTTAGGGTTTAAGGACTTCACTTTAAGGACTTCTTGAACTCTTCTCTAAAAATCATAAAATTCCTTATGATTTCTGTTGGGTAAATTAGCATCAATGTAATTTAATGAGTGCAAAATAGAAGATATGAGTGCAAACAAGGTATTTCAGATTATGATGCCCCATCCAGAGAAAGCTCATATGTTAATAGAACTTTAGCCATAACTTTAATAGGATTTAGGCATAACAAATTTGCCTGCATTTTTAACCTAAAAAATTTAAAGCCAAAGGGCTTTAAAAATTCTGCATGTTGCCTCCCTTCTGTCCAAATCAATATAGCCAATAGTTAGGGAAGACAGGAGTTGTAGTTAAACATCTAGCGGGGCTCACCGAAAATAATCCCCACATCCAAATTTAACCAAACACCTAAAACGGTGAAGCATGAATAGTTAATAAGGTTGGCTGTCCATTCACAAGCCACTGTGGTGTAGTTGTTAGTTGTGGGACTGGGACTCAGACCATCTAGATTCAAGTCCCTGCTCAGCGATGGAGCCAACTGGGTGACTTTGCGCCAGCCATACTCAGCTCAACCTACCTTATAGGGTTGTTGTAGGAATAAGATTGAGAAGAGGAAATTATGTAAGCCCCTTTGAGTTCTTCATTAGAAAGGCAGGATATAAATCTAAATAAGTAAATATTCTGTTTCTTATTCCATAAGCAGGGGTCGGCAACCTTAAACACTCAAAGAGCCATTTGGATCCGTTTCCCACAGAAAACACCAGGAGCCACAAAACCCTTTTGACATCTGAAATGAAGAAAACACTGCATATATCGTTTTTTACCTTTATGCTATGTATAAAAAAACTATAGTGTGTTGCATTTATGACATCAATGAACTGCTACAGAGAAAACAAATGTTTATTTCTGCATGGAACAAAAACATATAAAGCATACTGGTAAACCAGTCTCGTCAGTGGTGAAAGCAAATGAATCCGCCCACGTACCATTTAATGTTCTGTTTTCTTCTGAATCTTTTTTCTTGGATTTATCCATGGTTGGCCTACTGGGGGTCGAAAAGCTCAATAAATCGCGTGCCGGCGGGCGTCGCACATTGGCGGTTCTGACGCATATTTTGAGCAACAGGGAGCCGCAGCAGAGGGATGAAAGAGCCACGTGTGGCTCCGGAGCAGTGGGTTGCTGACCCCTGCCCATGAGCGTTACTGTGGACTCGCCTTGAGGCTGAGAGGTAGAAAAGAGATTAAAAGCCTGCACTGATAGCAATAAAAGCCTTTATTCAGACAACAGAACTCATAAAAGAGCATGATACAACTGAAATCTCATTCTGAAACAAACAGAAGTACAGTTCTTTCACCTCACACCTAAGAAGACTGCCTAGTGCATTGATGCCAGAAGCAAATGCCAGTTTTGTGAAATTTGCTCTGTGCACCTAGTGGAGCATGTAGCTATCTTTTCAGAGAAGGGGTGTGTGTGCATATGCGCTTGCATGCACACACACTTAAAATAAGAAATCCTTCATAAGCAGGAAGTTTGCAGGTGCTATGATGTGAAGATTCATAACCCACAACCTGTAACAAAGCAAAGCAGATCTTTCAGCACCAGAGACAAGATTTCAGCATCTATTCTCTTATCTTAACCCCTTCATATGCTTTAAGAGAAATTATTGCCTCTCCCCATTCCCTGCCTACTTCCACTTTAAACTATTCTCTATTTCTAGCTGCCACCTGAGTTTTTTACAAATAAGTTACATACACATAAACTTACTCTTCCCTCCACCTAAACCTTTGCAAAGAGACATGCAAATTATTTGAAAATCTGGATTGTGGTATTTGCAGTAAAAGAACTTTCACCACCATCTGTAACAGGGGATGCGTATGTTCACACGACAGCATTCAAGGCCATGAAAATTAAGCACGTGAAAATTGGCATGCAATCTAAAGGGACTCTAGGAGTGCATACCTCAGGGTTATTTTGTTATAACCCTCTTGCTTCCTGCTGCTGTAGGCCAGCCCCCACTCAGAATAGATTGGACAGTCTTCCCTGAGGGGACTATAGAAGTACACTGTTTGAAGCATCATGGCTAGGGATGTAAGCCGACATGTGGCTTCGCTCAGATGGGGCAAATAGAATCTGTCCAATAGGTGTTAAGTGTATGGTATGACACACAGAGTGCTTTGAAGCAGGACCATTTGCCAGTAAAAAAAATAAAGCAAATTACCCTGTTAATTCCAGACACAGACATTTTATGTTTGGTTCTGTGTACATGGTTTTGTGCAAATGTATGCAAAAACAGCTGAAAGGAAAAGAGGCCACTTTGGTGAGTGACTGCAGTCAAGCCCCAGGCATAAGAATGCATCCACTGATGCTCTGCAAGGTAATGTCACAGATTACTATCTGGTTAAACTTGTAAGCGTGAAGTCCTCTATTAAGAGAAAAAGTCCAAGAAAAGAAGTTTGGCAACAAAAATCCAGCTGGAGCATGCTGGGAGTGGAACTTTTTCTTCTGTTTCGACCTGCATATGACTGCATCCCAGGGGCTATGTCTGAGCTCTGCTGCCTCCATTTGTACAAGCATCTCTTGCACTCGGCTGAGAATGGCACTTCAACAATAGCTTTCAAGGACAAAGTCCCTTTGCACTACTAGTGCTGCACATGCACACAGGCTTAAAGCAGAAAACTACACCCAAATCACAGTATCATTTGTAGGGGGCTCAGAAAGGTAACAGGCATATTCCAAAACAGAACTTGATCAGGCATGTAAATTCCAAAGGCTTCATGTCGTTCTACGCAGTGCAAAAGTGTGTGAACAAGTCTGCCAACCCCTTGGCTTCTCTTTGGGCAGCCCCTGGGAGCCCTGCTCACTTTCCCCCACTCTTTCCTCTTGGAGAAACAAGTGTTCCAGCACTGCTATCAGCAGGAGCAGGGCAGCCATCATGATTGGGGTCAGTGGGCTTTAGCCTCTCAGTCAGCCGGAGTAGATGCTTCTGTGCCACTAAATGGTTGCACAGCGGCAGCGTAGGATAAAAAGCACTTCAAAGACTTTTTGTCCTATGCACTGAAAGCAGCTCCATCCATGCCATGAACTATCCCACCACCACAGAAGGCAAGAGGGAGCAGCTTTATAATTTTAGCATGGTCAGCTAACTGAAACTCTCCTTCCCTGCAGTGCTTTGCACACACCCTGCAATTTTCTGCAGGCAGGCATTTGCTATAATAAAAGGCAAAACTTATGCATGCTTAGACAGAAGTACTACAACTCCTTCAATGCTGAGTTGAAGTTTGTTTTCCTGTTTCAATATGCATAGGATTGCACTCTTAAACGCCTAAAAAATCCAAAAATTAATGCTTCAGAAGAAAGGTCTTTCGGGTAGGTTGTGCATTATTGCCCAGGAAACTATAGTGCTGTCTGAATTTAGGGAAATGATAATCAGGGCACTTTGTGATAATGGTCGGGAGGTCAGTGTCTGGACTGCCACATCCAAGTCCCTGTTTTATTCACGTTCAACTCAGTTCTTTGCAAATCATTCCAAAAGAGTAAGATGTGGGGGAGGGAAACAGTGAGATCTAATGCTGCAAATCCAAAGGCCTTATTAGTCTAGTTACAGAGACTGCATCATAAATGGCACATCAACAGACCAAAGTTTATAAAGCTTTATTAAACCTGTTCAACAGCTGTGCAATGAACAAACAAAAAATAAAAATTCTCTGTGGAGGTTTCTCATTTCCAATTCCCATGGGACTTTTCAGCAATGCTCCTCCATGGGCAGTCAAACACATGTTATGGAACCAAGCACATGGTGAACAAGAACATAATCTTGAAAAAAAATCAATAAAAAGTGTATGCCTGTTATCCCCAAAGCCTAGCTTGTGTTTCTTACAAGCTAACATTTCCTATGGAAGAAAGGATATTCTCTGGAAACTGATGTGCAAATGTAAAGTGTATGTTTGTCTGTGTTTTGGGGGGTGGGAAATAAAGGTATGGCCCTGATACTTTCAGAAAACAGCTTCCCAGTATCACAGGAGGAATTACAATTCAACCGTGTGTTTCTCCTTGCCTCCCATGCATGTGAATACTGGCTCATTTGCTTGAGAAGACAGAATAATACTCTTTGCATCAAAAAGAAAAAAAATAGCAACACATCACTCCAACCCAGTATTGAGAAGCAGCCCATCCTTTCCACATAAGCCTCAACTCCTTCAAGACCCTGTTCCTGTACTCTGCTGCCTTTTTCAAGCTAGAAACACTGAGAGTTTACATTCAAAAGCAAAGCCAATGAAAGGTATCCCCCAAACATTATAGCAGCCCATGCTTTCTTCCCAAGGACCTTGGAAATCATGGATATTTGGCATGGTAGGGTAGAGAATGAAATAAGCTCAGCCCCTGTGCTGCAAAAGTGATGTCAAAGCTCTGGGATCTCTGGATGATGATCTAGGCAGATAAAAATTTTGGAAAGCACTTGGACAGCATACACATTCCAGTTTGGCTTGCTGAGATGAATCAGCAGCCTCTGGCTCCTTCAGCTTTCAAACTTTAATAGTAAAGTTCCCCTTCAGATATTCAGAGTAATAAAGTTTAGGAAGATGGAGAGACTTTTCAACCTCTCAGCAATGTAAGAGGATGCAAGTTCTGGAAGGATGAAAGAGGATGGAGGGCTGCATTTTGATCTGTGCAAGGGATCAGACAAATGCAACTCCAGCACCAGGCAATTCGCAACAGGTTCCTTCACCACTAAGTCAGAAATGGAAGGACCAATCTCAAATAAAGAAGGCAGCGGCGGGGAGACCACCCACAAACAGCTCTGCTTCAAACCCCATAACAAATAGCAATGCCAGTTATCACTATAAACAGGTTTTGTCAAATTTTACAAGCAGATTTGGAAGTGCCAGTGATCATGAGTGAAACACTTTAATCCAGACATACAAACAGGTTGCTTGTACTCCAATCACATGCCTTATAATCCCTCCTTCCCATAAAACTGTCCCTTTAAAAGAAAGAGAGCTTGCAACGAAGTGGAAAATCTTAGGTGCCAACTATGTTGGGATCATGAGCAGAGTCAGGCAGTTGGGAGCCAGAGCAGTGATACAAGAAACAATTCCCCCAGCAGCTGTAGCAGATGAGAAACAGAGCCGCCAAGAAGACCAAGGCACATATTGTGCAAGGTTTCCGCTCCAACAGAAAACTCAGAAGGTAGAAGCCCATGAACATTGAGTGACTGAACCACAAAGCTGGGTTGAGGGGTTTTGGGATGAGGAGAACAGGCAGTAACCACTGGAGGCAGTACATGATGTCAAGTGATCAAGGAGGCACAGTGATGGCAGCAATCCAAAGTGGCAGTGTGAAGCTTCTCCTCTGCACACTCAACTCTTCAGAAATCAGATCAGCCGCTTCATAAAACCGTGTAGAAATATATCAGCAGATCTTGACATAAAGGGCAGAGGGGGAAAAATGACAGGTCAGCAACTGGATTCTCAAGAATTTCACATCTGTACTCCCTACATAAATACATTTGCACAATCCCCAGCCCCATATGCATTGCATATATTTTAATTTTGAGGAAGTAAAAATCCTAATTTTCTCAGCTGTCATTTAAATAGCTTCAGTGTCTAGGTTATTGCCATAGATTATTCTCCCTGTGTACTTACTGTTCTGTTGCTTGAGAACTGTTAGTTTAGTATAAACATTAAAAAGGTCAAGACAGTTCTATATTGTGCCCATACTCTAGACAGCTTGTCTATGCAGTAGAAATGAGAGCTGCATTCTCTCATACACATGCTTCAATTCTTCAATAAAGTTATGGAAACTGAAAATAACAGCAAAATTTACAGTGCATTCGTCCTTTTCTTCAAATGTGGAGGCATGCTGTAGAACGCTAGCCAAGTGTGAGAATCAGAAATCACTGGTTTCAAATTTTACCTCAGCAATGAACTAACTGGGTGGGTTGCTGAAAGTAATTACTTTGCAGATCCCTCTCTGCAATTTGGAAAAGATGTGGGTTTACCATACAATATTGAGGAGAGACTGCTAAGAATGTATATATGAACCACATTAAGCATTTCAAATGCACTATACAAATTATGATTCTTCAACTGAGATTGTAAAGGAAACATAGCAATGTCATGCATGAGAAAGGAGGAAGCTATAAAATAAAGACTGGGGGCCAGTTGGGATGGAAAGAAGTTGCCACCACAAACAGAGCTGTGTCTTTAGCTTCTGAGCTTCTCATAAAATTGCCCAAAGATACAGGACTGCTACCCCTTCCACAACAATTTCTAATGTGAAATACTAGGAAAGGAATGGCCTAAAATATGAGCTCAGTATTTAGGGAATAATCCTGCTTCAGCAGAGAAAAAGGATGAAACAATTACATTTTCAAATTCTTTCCCATTGGAAATACGGGGCTTTATTTAAAGTAAAATGTGTGCAAATACACTGAACCTAAAAAACAGACATACAAGTTTATAGTCTTGACTAAGTGAAACAATCCTGGAGAAAAAGACTTCCATTAAATCTGGACAGCACAACTTGTGACTCACCAAGCTCAACAAGGCCCACCAGACAAATATTGTAGCCTGCCATTGTTGTTATTTATTTCTTTTCTTTACCACCCCATTGCAGAAACTCTCTGGGGGTTTATACAATATATAAAAACAAAACAATAAAATACAATATAAATATCATAGAATAAAAACAACGTAAAATAAATTTAAAATAGCTAAAACACAGTAAAAATCACCATGTATAAGGGCAGTGAAACTAGAAGGTGTATTGAGCCATATGGTGCCAGTGGGCTGTGCTTGGCTTGGTAGGTAGGTCACAAGCTGTACAGTATCTTTATGATGTTAGAAAGTGGCACATCAAACATGAATTCACAGCTATACTAAGCAAGTCCAAAGAAAGAAACAGGAGATGCAAGGGCATTCTACTTCCAAAAGGGGTTCTACCTGCTTTGTAGACACACTGGGAATACTATACAAAGGCCAGCTGCATGTGTGCCATGCAAATGTATTGACTGATAAATATAAACTTACATTTAAAGTAAAGAGGGATTGGGGAAAAGCTCTTTTTTACCCCAGGTTGTTAAGCAGAAGTGGGAGAATCCTGCAGAGATCACTCCGTTGAAATTCTATGTACTACTCTGTTGAGGATTTAAGCAAAGTCAATAATTTAAACAATGATTCACAACAAAAGTATCCATTTCCGTACATATACTAATAGTATCCAGGACTGAGGCAGATGGGTGCCCAAAGGAACAAAAGTCCTGCTCAGCCAGTTTTCTGCCTTCTGGGATAGCTAAAAACTAGATACACATGTAACCTTTTAATAAAGGTACCAGATAAAAAATACTGAAAACAGAAACAAGAATTCTTCTGCAAATAGTACAATTCAAATGTTTATCTTGGGTCCTTTTTGCCATCTGGAAACCCCAGTCGAATCACATTCTTGTATCCCAGTGCCATTTTAATGACAAAGCCTCTACAAGTCCACCCTGAAGAATTTACAGTCTGCTTCACACAGGCACAAGACACAATCAAACAGTGCTGGAGAAACACCCATTCACCCAGGCACCTAGAGATTAAAGGAACCAGTTACACACAGCACCAGCACCTAAATATTTGATACTGTCACCTAAGCGATTGAAACATGTTTGCATCTGGGCTGTTAAATCAAGCAAGACTATTTAAAAATAGACATAACCCAGAAGCCTCATAAATGACAGAAACGCTGACATTCTGTTAGCTTGCTAAAAACATGTCAGAAGATGGAGAACACTTCTATCACCCTTTAAGGGGGCTTCTCTTAATATACACTTCTCTTCAAACAATGACGACAGTAAGCAGCATGGCATCCAGTAAGCCAATCATTTTAAGAGTCAAATCCAAGCCAGCAGACAAAAGCAGCAGTGATTATATCTAACAGAACATCATTCAGACTCTTTTTCCAGACAGATGATCTTCCTGATTTCACATTTCATGCCACTATTAATTCCCTCTCGAAGACTCCCCTGCTTATGCTTCCTCAGATTTTGGGGCTCATGTTGGTGAAGAGACAATTTTGCCTCTTCAGGTAAAAAAATTCAGTTAGCAGAATGGAAGACAAATCTGAAACAGAAGTTTAATCTCATCAACTTTATTCTTCTGATATATCAACCATTCATTTTTGTTGAGTCACCAACAGAGGAAATATTTTAATAGCCCAGAAGACAAGTCCAGGATGTCTGCCAAGACAGGGCAAAGTATCTTTACCTTGCACTATTCATAGAAGCATAGAAGAAAAGCGTAGAAGAAAATTCCTTTCATGGTGATTATTTAGAAACCAGCCAATATTTCCCAGTCACACTTCAGTACGTCCCACTGGTAAGGTACAGAGGGGTAATATTATTATTACAGGCTCTATAAATACTCAAAGAAATATTCTACTCCTATCAGAGAGTGGCACCACCCTTCACACTCTGGCCTTCCAGAAATGCTTCAGCTTCCCATTCTCATTGCTCAACCCACTACAGAGACAAATACATTAAGAAAGACTAGAATTTCAAGCTTCAGTCACCTGAGAGGAAGTGGCAAGACAAAACAACCACTTCCCTGCACTATGAATCGGAATGACTGAGAACAGTTGCTGTGGTCCACCTTCCAGCAAACATAAGAATGGTAAAGGCTGGCATTCAGCTGGAAAGCATTTCTTTCCTAGAGGTCGGACCTAAGAAAGTGGCGATCTGGACATACCAGGTTCAGACAAGGTAGTTTGTACCAAAGCTCCACTGAAAAAATGATCAGCTCCCATTTGTTTTGCCACGACTTGCACAGCAGAGGATAATGAGGAACTGAGTCCACAATAACTCACTCTGAAGAAAGAGGGTATACAACTTAAATGGTGATTAATTATGCCTTTTAATGGTACACAAAGAACACTGCGAAGCATGCTTTTGGTGGGTCATTTCACACTATGATGCATCCGCTGCTGCACCTATACTAGTGTTAGTCTATCTAAAGATTCCTGCACCAAAACTGTAAGGTGTGTGAAAGGCAAACATTTAACCCTAAAAAAGATGTGTCTTTGGTAATACAAAGTAGTAAGCAAGGTGCATCAGTGAATGTGTAGGACCAAAGCACTTCAGAGTAGCAGAGAATGAGGTAGAAAGAAAATTAGCAAGTGTAGGCATAAAGTGAAAGAATAAAGCATGTGAGAGTGCGACTGAAGAACATAAGTAAGCACAACTGACAGCTAGACAGCAGTTTGTTCACTGTGAATAGGTAAAAATAATTACAAAGCAAAATAAGCGTATTTTGCTGGAGCAGCTAAGGAAAATGTAAATTTAATCAGCCAGTCTCAATTTGACAGAAATGTTAAATGTGAAAGAAAATTTCACTATTGTGACCTAACCTGAATCATTAGTACCTGCCACAGGTATCAAAACTACAGTCTTATGACAGATGATTGGCCACCTCTTGGTTACATGTATTCTTGCTTTGTAGCTGAAGAAGCCATCTTGCCATGTGCGTGAGCTCAAAGTGTTAAGTGAGATGGCCCCAATAATTTCCCATTTGATGTCAATATCAAGTCACAACTCTTTATAAGAGAGCTTTGGACAACATCTGGATCACCAGAAAGACTCTCCTTTGGTGTATGTCCATGCTCAATGCTGTAGTTCCCCTCCCATAAACGTATTCATGGTATCTTCCGGGTTTGCCACTATGAATGCAAGGGTGCAAAATGACAAAATATTGTAGTGCCCCTTGATTATGCTTTCTTAATGGTAATAATAGAGCATAAGGAGCTATGTAAGGTTTTGCAGCTGCCTTCAAAGTGTTATCTGTGAACAGAAATTTCTCCTCTGTGGCAGCAAAGCAAGCATCTCAGGAGCAGAGAAAGAAATAACAAAGAACTAGGCAAGGACATGTACTGTTTTACACCACTCTCCAGCAAAAAGCTATCAGACATGGCTCCCTTGAGCTGTGCAGTACTATGCATATTGCCATGGAAACATCAAATAAGGGATCATCCAAGGATCTTGTAGAATCCTGCTCTGTTGATTATATCAAATGCCTCTCTGAGATCAAAAGAAGTGAGGTAGATTGGTTTATATTGTTCTCTGTACTTCTCTTGTAGCTGAAGCTAGAAGACAAAGAAAATTGTATCTGCTATTGTTCTACTTGCGCTGAAGCTGCACTGTGCTGGAGAGGACACGCAATCAAAACATTACTGAGCACCTCCTAACAAATACTTTCCCCAGGAAGCTGATGAGAAAGATTCCAAGATGTTTGCAGTTGCCTTTGCACTTAATAGAGCTTTCTAATGGCTTGGATTCTGACTAGAGTTCTGCCAACAGGAGGGCTCCTTCCATTCATGGGCAGTACCAAGATCCAGCAGGCAATTCCACAGGGGAGGGGGAATAGTAACGAATTTCCTCTCTTCCTGCAGCCCACCCACTAACAGTGTTTTAAAATTCCTCAGAGCAGATTTTCAGTCGGGCACAAGGGGCTGCAGAAAGAAAGCAGAAATTCATCTCCCTTGCTTCTGCTGACAGGAGCATCACATCCCCGCAAGATACCAGCCAATGTTAGCACACATTTCTGTAGAATGTCAAGAGTGCTGTTGGAAGAGTAGGGATTGAAATACACAGAAAGCTCACATCTCCTGGTAATTATAACAATTTGACATTAGAGCCCAGATTTTTAAAGGCCTTTAAAGACTTGCTTGAACACTCAGGAACCTAATTACTCATCTCAGGTGTTTTATAGAGTAATTTTTTTGCTATTGCTTGTTTTAAACAGTTTAATGCCTTTTCTGATTTTACTATATTTTACTGCATTTTATTGCCTGTTTTGTGGATTGTTGTAAACAACCCAGTGACCTCTGGCTATGGAGCAGTAAAGAAAGAAATAAATTTAGATGAAACCTAGATCTTAGGTTAAATCTAGATCCCATGAAATCTTCTAGTCATCCTATGTTGCCAGTGCCATCACAGCCAATGCATATTGGCCATAACTTTACTCTGGATAGATGTTCGTGTTCTGAGAAGCATTTTAATTTCAAGATATAAGAAACTATGAAGGTTAACTTCAAGTTTTGCCTTATAACTTCCTTTCTTACAGGCTTAATCCCCATTTCCTTTACTATTTAGAAGCACCTACAGGTCAGTAGTTATGAGATCAGCATATGGGAGTGGCATGAAATAGGCCTTAGTCACTTCTCTTTTTGACACATACACTGGTGAAATCTTACTCACTAACCATGAACAGGCAGGGAGGATTGGAAAACTGCTTTCATACAACTGTACAACAAACCGATCTGAAGAATCCAGTGTTTGTTTGATTACGTTTTTTCTGGTCTAGTGACAGAAATTAGCATTTTCACACATAACACTCCACAGTACTAATACTATATTATTGACAGGAAACAGTTTTGGCCCATCCATCCATCCATCCATCCATCCATCGGGTTGTGGCCATAGAATACAAGGCAGACCTCCACAGTGGGAAAGTCACTCTTTTACACGAAAAATCGTCATCTGTACAAATATGGGTTTCACTTCAGGAACTGTAGAGAGAGGCTGTGTCAGGAAACATCTTTTAACCATCTTTCTAAAAGTAGGATTACTTCAGTAAAGTTCCTCCCTAGGACCAATTTCTGAGACGAAGGTGAAGAAAAATCTAAATCCTACAAGCTCTGTTCTAAGATTGACACCCATATTTTACAGAAACAATTTGATTTTTTATTTTATTTTCTTTCTCTTTTTGATACCTTATTATACCCATTTATATGACAGCAAATTAATGCAGTATAATGCATGAGTGCTTTACCTTTGCCAAGGACAAATGAAGCCAAGATAAATATCTCACTATAGAGCATATCGTTCCACCAAGATAATTCTTTTATTCTTATTGCAACTTTGGTGTCCTGGGAAACTGAAGAGATTCTCTTCCTTCAAGAATACTAGCCAGACAACTTTCTACTTGAAATCATCAAGAACAGTTTTGCATTGCCTACGTGCATAAGAATCAAAGTTATGTATGAAATAAGAATTTCAAAAAGTGGGGGAAGAGAATGCAATACAAACTATCCTGCTCATTAGTCTGCTGTAATTAAAACACACCCATTTCTATAGCCAAATTCACAGGGTGAGAAGAAACAAGCCCAACAAGCTTTCTATAGTAAGCTGTCAGTAAAATTACTATGCTGTCAAGATATCGGAGAACTCTTTGGATTTGTCAAGTCCATTCATAGTTCAGTGGAAGGATCAATAAATGATACTCCAGCAAGACAGTCTTGCAGTGGTTCAGTTCAGATTAGTGCCCAAGAAAGAGATACATGCATGCAAATAAACTTCTATGTCACAGGGGTTAATCAAGAGATAACAAAGGAATCAAGGGAAGTTGAAAAAGAGAATATATGGAGATTAAGTAAATAAGTAATCAAAATGGACTAGGAATTAAACAATGAGAAATTCCAGATTAAGTAATATAATGTCTTTTTAGCAGTCATGTAGTCATACAGCCTTTTTATTTAGTGCATGGCAATCTTTGCTTTATTCATTCTTTACAAGTGAAGGGATGAGCACTTTTTTATTTAACAAAAGCAAGTTTAAAAGGCCATCAAGTGAGTCAACTTGTGTCCAGCTCTTTAAGGTTCAAGTCCAGTGTCACCTTTAATCCAAGGTACCAAATTTCTACAAGGTCTTAGCATTTGCCTCTAATGTGAAGAGTAAACTGTATATATGCACTTTCTATCAATTGGCCAGCTTCCAATCCTCTCTGTGCATGTAAAAGGAGCAAACTCAAAACACAGATATTACAAAACTAGGCAACATGGAGCAAGAAATGAGACAATAGAGGTAATTCCACCTCTCCTTTGCTTCCAAAAAAGATACATCACCTGAGTTGCAGGAAGCTGTGCTCTTTTCTATTATTTTGCTGCTAACACCCTCTTTTTCTAGATCTGCAGAATTTTGTTTTAACTAGGGATAGATTCAGGCAGTAAAATCTATCTCCATTCTGAACCTGCTATACACTAACTTAACTGCATCCACATCCTGTTATACACTAGTCAGGGACAGCAGTAATGTGCCAGAAAGGAGGAGATAAAGTACCACTGAGTGGGGTTGTTACATATCTACTACAGCAAAGACCATTAAAGTCCTGACTACAGGCAAGCTAGGAAGATTTTACCAAATGGATCCTGCCACTTCTACATTTAGATTTTAAGTATTGGCACTCATATTGTTTAATATTAGGTGCCAACAGGGGTATTGTACAAAAAGGCAGCCAGTGGCCAGAAAGGGGCTTACTCTGATACCAATTATCATATAAGAAGGTAATAAGATTGAAAGTGAAGAGTTGGGAGTCAAAGTTTCAGCTGAAAATAGAGATGAATACAAGAGCTAAATTTCAGAATCAGAGCATGGTGCATTTAGTCCATTATTCTATTTCCAACAATAGCCAACCTTGGGGAAGCTCCCAAGCAGGCCAATGTAAGAGTTCTCCTATACTGTCATTCTCCAGCAACAGGTACATCACTGTCAATAGCTGCTGATAATCTATTCCTTTTAAAAAGTCATCTACACAAGTGCCCCCTCATGCTTCGTCAAATGTCACGACTTATATTTTTAATCAGCTTGGTGTATTTCTGAAGCTAGTATCTGTCTGCCATATTGTTATGCTGTTTTGTCAATCGCTCTAAGCGGCTTTAGGCATTATTTTAAATGGAAAAGCAACCCGCATCGTCATCATACAAAACCTCGTAGCACAGGATCTCACAAGCTAATCATAATTTGCAGCCTGGGCCTACACAAATCAACCAGGCGACCTTAAGCTTTGCCATTACATAAAGGCAACTCGGGTGGGGAGCGGGGGGAGGTGGAGGTGGCGAGTGGGAGCTCTGCCCAGCTGGGAGGGAGGCCCAGACTTAAGGGCGCTTCGCTCTCCAGCAGGCCCAGGGGCGACCAGCGTCCCTCACCCTGCCCAAGGCGAGGCCCCCTCCCTGCTCGTTGCCCTGCCCTGCCCTACCCACAGCGCCAGAGAAGCGGGCGGTGCCTCCCTCGCAGCTGCCGAGGGGCAGGGGCACGAGATCCTGAACATCGGCCCAGGGGGAGCCGCTGCCTCGGCCTGCAGACACGCCCCCGCTTCCCCCCAACTCCCCATTACCTGCGCTCCTCGCCATCGCGCAGTCTCGCCTCCCAGCCGTGCTCGCCCGCCCGCTGCGTCTTTCGCTCTCCGTAGGACCCTTCAACTGCGCACTCAGGATGCAAGGCGGGCTGTCCACGGTGTTGCCTGCTTTTTCAGGCTCTGCCGGCGCTACCTTGCCCAACACGGTAGGCAAACCCTCGCCATCCACACTCACTTCATCCCTTTCCCTCCTCGTCCCCTTCAAAAATGCTAGGCCGGCTTTCAACGGCCGGATTGTGTTTTGATCAGGCACTACCAAACGCTGCCGGTGGGAAGGGCCTACCTGCTAGCTGCGAACGGTTCAGGATTCCAGACTTATGAATATGCAACAGATGGGAAAGAGAGGGCGGCATTCTGGGGCTGGCAGCCTGCGTTTGCAGAGAGAGGGAATGGGTTTATAGTGAACCGGCTTTTCGCCACGCCACGTGCTCTAGGCGGTGCCCGGTGCTGACGCAACCTGAATAAAAAAGAATTTTTGCAACCATCTGCTTCTCCAAAATGAATTTGGCACCACCCTGAGCGCGGATGGCTCTACACCTGCAGAAGCACGAAGCAGGAATACAGTAGTCCAAAAGACCGTGACACTTCAGAGTACAGGGTTGAATATAGCACTCCTGAATGCTCCCCATGTCCAAAAAAATAATTTAAAAATGCCTGCAACTAGAAAGCTAGCAAATCAGTGCGAAAGATGTCACGTCAGGCCTTTGCCTCGAACGTCTATTTTCTTTTTGCCAATGAGTTTTTGTGTAACTTTGTAAGTAGTCTATTGTGAAGTATGATCCATGCAGGCAAGTCCAGTGACAGCACATATGCCAAGGCCCTGACAGCCCATCAGAACCTGCCATTGCATTTCTCCTTATAATGTAGCTGATGTAACTTAGCTGAGTCACAGACAGCATGGAGGGATGGCCTTGGGGTCCACTGTAATTTACTGCAGCTATCATCTGAATGATACGTCCATAAAGGTAGGCATTATTATGCTCATATCTTGGGAGGAAGAAAACTGGGGTGCAAAGATTATAGTTTCTCTCAGGAGACTTAGTGCAGGGATGAGCAGAAGAAAAATTTGGATCTGTTGGTAGCTATTTGGGTGAATTTCAATAGATTAAGGATATTTATTTCTCAGTCATTTAATGACAACAAAGTAGTTCCCCAGTTTGTTCTCTTCTGTCTCACTAGCTTGAACCCCACCCTTCATTCAAAGATTGTATTACCAGGATTAAACATTATCCTGTAGGCATGATAAAGCATTAATATTGCCAAAGTAGAGCATCTTATTTTGTCAGAGCAAATGCTTTCCCACATGTTCTGTGCAAACTTGATATACACATAGAGTACTACAAAGGATGCTCCCATTTGATCAAAGTATTGGCTAGGAAAGCAAGCTTTGTGATTAAAAGTTGTATGGCTTGTCCATTATTTAAACTTTTCCTCCTACCCCAGAAAGATTTAGAGCAAAATATATTGTCCTTCCTAATGACTTTGAATATTCATTCAAAGTGACCTTCTTCAGTACATTCTTCCTAACTGGCTAAGTAGACATACCAAAGTCACATGTGCTTGGACAACAGGGAATAAAAAAACCAGATTCCTTTCTGATGGTGATGACAACCCTTCTTTGAGGCCTGTTAAGGTCAGGCAGTTGGTTAAAGTTTGCCTTCTTGCTCCTAATTGAGCAGTTTGGAAATTAATGGTAGCATGGTTAACATGAAATCAGATAGAATATATAGGCAAAATAAACATTTGCAAGCCTTAATAGATTTTATGGTTTAAATGAGAAAAGGGGATTTTGGAATTTGCACATCTGATCACACTGTGCCTTGCTGGACTTGTGTATATATTGCTGTCTCTGCTAAAAGAGAAAGCTAAAGCCAGAAACTTTTAGATAACCCACATCAACTTGGGAAATGAGGCCATGTTGACATAACTCAACAAATCTTCAAACAAAAATTTAGAGAAATCTCAAACATCCCAGTTCACCATATCAGAAATTCTGTCAGGTGGCATCTGCTGAATTTCCCAAACATCAGCAAATGGTCCATCTTTGGAGGTGGTACAATAACCTCCCTTCTGAAATACATAACAACACACCTTTCTTTCAGTGCTGGTGCAAGACAAGGAGCATACATGCATACTTGTTTCCTTATCTGAAAGGCTGCTGGATCTTCATTTTGGCAGACACAGAATCTTACAACATTTTAACACACATTCTAAACTGTAAGCACACACTTTCCAAGAACCGGTTCCAGTAAATTCAGTGGTATACACATATCTGATTGGCTTGTACAATCTGGATCTTAAAATACATGTTACATACCACTTAAAACATAATGCCTTTATTGTGGGAACAGTGGGGAAGCTTTCTGGTAGGAATCCCAATACTCCAGGTATTTCTAGGAAAGCCGCTTGTCTGAAATTCTGGAGAACTACAGTAGTTCAGTGTAGACAATACTGAGAAAGATGGACCAATGCTCTCACTGAGAGTAAGGCAGCTTCCCAAGTTCCCTAAATGCCACTACTTATGATTGCATTTGAGGAACACCTGGTGATTGGAAGAAGACACAGCACAGAACTAGAATGGGAATCAGATAATTCTAGCACCATTTCTGAAAAGCAACAATGAGAAATTACTAAACATTACAGGGTGGGATAATTTCTTGATACTCAGGCATGATACAATTAGCTCCTGCCCTTCTTCGTAAGTGTGGTAAGTTCTGCCCAACTAAACAGATCATAGCCCTTCCACCTCATTTTTTTATTGTGACATGTGAGAGCTGGGAACTCTGGCTGACTCCTTCCCAGACAAGTTGGAGCCATAACTTAAGAACAAATCATGGCTTATATGTCTGTCTGGTGAAACACACGTTAAAAGACCCAATTTGCACATGGCAGGAAACAAACCATGTATAGAACACGGGAGTGAGCTGCTCCCTGCAGGAGCCATGAATGAGTGATCAAGCAGTGTGTACCAATGGATGCATTGAAGAGTGCTGTGTCCGAGAGGTCATGGGTGGATTCAGTCACAGTAAGTCAGAAGTCACGAGCAGAGGAAAATGGAAACAGGCTGGGCAATGAGTTAGAATGGCCCCAATTTAGCAAGCCCAATGGAGAAGAAATAAAAGTTCAGTCACAGGTCACGTTTATTTCCAGTGTTTTTCTGTAGAAACTAATGTGGCTAATGTTACCCCTTAAAAGAGCACACATTTCCCCCTGGGTATTTTGCACATACAGTCCCAAGATCAGCAACTGTTCACGCCTGCCACCAACATGGAAAACATCAACGGCTCTTTTGCCAAGGATGAAATGCTGAGCACATCTGCAGGTCACAGGATTGCTTCTTTAAGTTCTGGATTTAGAGTTTCTCAAGTACCATGACGTGTCTGACCAATCCCTCAAAGAAGAGGGACACCTCTCATTTTGCGGATTATGTTTGCCAGTCGCTTGGCTAGGCCTCCCTTCTTGGCTTCTTCTACATGGAAGGTTCTGGTCAGCAGGTTGTAGAAGGAGCCATAGCACACAGCTACCACCGTGCAGGTCAGACAGATGACATTATATGGCATGCTGAAGTCTGGAGTTGGCAGGTTCACCAGCAGTGGTTCTGTGTAGAGGCGCACAAAGTAGCTGGAGCCATCTGAGGAAGGAAACCTACAAGGGAGAAGAAGAAGGAAAAAGCCTCAGATTCAGAGACTGATGTGGTTCAAATGCCTTATATGCAACAGTAACATTTCAGATTACACATCTGGAGACAAACCAGAGTGTCACTTTTTTTTTTTTTTTTTTTGGGACAAGCAGTTTCAAAAACTCACAAAGAGAATTTTTGTATGGACAGTTTCAGTGCATAAGTGCTTAAAGGTCATACATGCCATTAATATGTATGCTCAAAAGCTAGGATTTTAGATTCATAAGAAAACTTCTTATACCTTATAACATCCTTCTTCAGCTAGGTGCCCTCCAGATGGGTTGCGCTACACATCTGGAAGGCATCCAGTTGGGGAAAGCTGCTCAATAAAACCAGCAACAGCAACTTAGGCTGAGGGCCTCATTCTTCAGTTGGATGTTGTCATCTGTTGCAAGTGCTCCTGAATCTCACAACCATGGGAGCAGTTCATTCCATGCACAACCACAGCATTTTCTATCTATGTAAAGACACTCCATTGTGAATCAGGCTGAGAGGTATAAGAGACTGTAGGTCGAGCAGTAGAGAGCATACACTTTGCATGTAGAAGGTCCCTAAAGAAAGGTGCAATGCCTGACCCCTCTAGTTAAAAGCATCAGGTAGCACATGATGGAGAAAGGACCCTGAGACCCTGCTGAGCTGCTGCCTGTCAGAGCAGACAACACCAAGTGAGATGATGAAATACTCCAACCTGGTTTAAGGGAACTTTGTCTTCAGTAAAAGTGTACTAGTCAGCTGTACCAATTCCACACAGGTTATTCACACCAGCAGAACTTCAATGTAGGGAGGGGAAACCTGCAGCCCACAGGCCACATTTTGCCCTCTTAGGGTTCCCCAGAAGGCCCCACGCTCTTCTTCTGGCCCCACTGCTGTCCCCATAGTTGCCCATCATTTTGTGTTTTGCACAGCTTTCTCCCCAGATTCTGAGAAAGTGAAATGCCTTTCCCAAGGCTTAATTACTGTCAGTAGGAGCCATTAGCAATAGGTTTGTATTTTGGACCCATCTCTTTTGGCCTTGGAATGGCCATCACTGGAATGCAACCCTGAGCACATTTCTAAAACTGTACTGAATGTAATCTCCGAGCTGACTTACAGTGATGCAAAGAGGGGGCTTAGATCATCTTCCTCCTTTTTCATTGCAATGACGCTTGGCACCAGGGCACTCAGGACAGATGAGCTACAGAACAAAAAAAGATGAGTACGTGAAAAGAGAGAGAGGTTGATTATATAAGCTTTAGTCCCTCTAGGGAAAGAAGCAAGCAGTCACAAGGCAGGACAGTCAGTCCCAAGGCAGACAAATCCAGATGCTGAATTTGGCCTCCTGAAACCTCTTACCTCACATAAAAGCCATGGTTGGGGTCAGGAGTGTATTCTGTCCACTTCAGCAAGGCTCTCTCAAACTGGATGGTGATCTTTGTGACAGAGTTTGCTGGCAGCTGAATAAGCATCTCCAAGAGATGGGGCCGTTGTCGGTCTTGAGCAGGCTGATAGTGGATATAACCTAGCACCAGAGACATGCTATCATCACACAACACTTTGCCAAATAAAATAAGCAAAAAGCCTTCCTTGATGTTTGCATTATGCCTGAAGGAACGCTGTTTACTTTGGCCTAACTGACCTCCCCAGCACCCCTGCAGTGGCATTGAGGGCAGAGAAGCAACATGGATCACAAGCTATTTATCTGATAGCTTCTGTTTCTCCCCATCTGGAATGCAAACTCTTGTGGGTACAGATCATGGACTCATGGGTGGGAGGGTGCTGCTGAATGCATGTCTCGCTTGTGGATTTGCCATGGGTCAGCTACTGTGTGAACAAAAGGCTGGACTTGATGTGATCCAACATGGCTATTATATGTTATTAAGCAGAGTCAATATTTAGGAAACAAACAAATGTAGGCTGAAGTTCTAGACAGACAGAACTGGGAGCAACCTAATTGAACTCAATGGGACTTCTTAATAGGTATTTACAGGATCCCAGAACATGGCTGCAATGTATATGCAGCTACTTAGAAATACTTCCTATTGATAAGGTCAGGCTTTCTCCTGAATAAAGTATGTAGCATGCAGGCTTTCAGAAGACATTATACTGTAGCAGACAAAAGGTTGGATCCAGATTTCATCATGCATTGAGTGGACACACTGAAATCAATGTGAGTTTAGCTAATCACAACTGATTTGTCCCACTGATTTCAATGGGTATACTCTAAATATGACCAAGTATGAATCCAGTGCATAGTGTCAGGCTTGGTTTCAAATCTATGTTCACGCAAGGACATGCTGAGCTTTCTTGAGCAAAGCCAACAGTCCCTAGCTTGCATTCTCATTCTTTGGTCAGGGAAAAACCAAAAGCTTCCTGTGTGACAAGTTGCAAGGGCTAATTAGAAAGACTTGAAACATGTGGGAATAACAAACAAACAAAAAAGTTGGTAGTATGTTCCTAAAGCATTTTCCAGTGTGCTGAGTCATTTACAGCTTATTATTGAGCCCTCAAGATCCTCCACTGTAGCAGAATGTGGCAGTTATAGAATTCCTCTGTCATGACTGTACTGAAAGATGGTGCCAAATACTAGGATCTGCTGTTCTCCTTCTGCCAGTATCTCTCGAGGTTAGGCCCATCCTGTCCTCCTGAAAGAGGAAGACTAACAGAGGGATAGCTGCAGCACTTCTGGAAGATTGTCTGTCTTACAGCACCTCTCCAGGCCACTCTCTATCAAAGCAAACAGAGTATCTGCTGCTGGAGCGATCTATATGGCAGCAGCCTTGTTTCGGTCATAAGTAATCTGTCACAGGTTACATGTCAGCAGTAAACAGGGCGAAGCCAGCATTGGATAGTAGCAGAGCCAAAAGTGAGTTAGGGCCACCCCTTTTCCTGCCACTACCATTCCCCTTTCTCTCACTTCCCACATAGTAGGCTGCCATAGAAGGGGTCAGAAGTCTGAACTGATCATGTGCAGAGGTTTTTAGGTTGAGGACTGCAGGTTACCCAACCCTATGCAGACTTGCATAATCCCCATTACTGCTACAACAGTCTGGTTTCCATGTCTTTCTTAGAGAAACCTGAAGTTTCTGTCAGCACTTTACCAATGGTTTCAAAGACCCTTTGAGTACAGGCCTCCCTATCTGAATCTACTGTTTTCAGAATGCTTCAACAGGGAGCAAGAACACACTTGCAGCTCTGGATAAGCACTGCAACTCCTTGCCACTCTTTCTTTTCCGTCTGCTGCCACCTGGGCACCTCCAGGAACTGCTCAGAATGCAGGAAAGCAGCTTCCAAAGCAGTCCCCCAACAGGTAGGACCTATTTGCCCTGTTGTGTTCACCTGTGAGGACAGAGAAAAGGCAACTGCATGGCAGTGGAAGCAGAAATAGTGGGAAACTTGGAATAAATGGGAGTGTTCTGTCCTCACCCTGCCGCCACCCTGCTAGAAATGGTGGCCTGCCCACAGGTAGCCGCACAGTTGAACAAAACCAGGCGATGCTTTGTACGTATGTCATTTAATAACCTCATGCCATTTTCCTTCTCCTGTCTCATGGACATTCCACCCACCTGGTTTCTGCACCAACTACACTTCTTGTTTATGTTGAAAAAAGTCTTTTCTTAATGTGAAATAAATTACAAAGTGCCTGGCTCTGTATTTTATAGATCTCAAGAACATAAGAAGAGCTATGCTGGATTACACCAACAGTCCACATGAGCTCACAATTCTGTTTACACAGCAGCTGGCCATCTGCGTGCAAGACACTCACAAGTAGGACATGACTGCAAAAACAACCTGCTCATGTTGCACAGCAAACGGTATGCAGATGCACACTGCCTCTGATAATGGAGGTCACAGACAGCCACCAGGACTAATACTCACTGAGAGATTTATCCTCCAAGACTTGATCTAATCCCCTGTTAAAGCTGTTCAGCTCAGTGGCCATCACCACGTCCTGTGCTAATGAATTCCATAGTTTAACTGTATGCTGTGCAGAGAAGTACTTCCTTTCATCTCCTTCAATCTCCCACCCACCACCACTGTACCACATTTATATTCCACCTTTTCTCTCTTGTGGAAAACCCAGGACATCTCACATAGCTCCATTTTATCCCCACAACAACCCTGTGAGTTAGGTTTCCAATCAGCTTCATGAGATGTTCAAGGCTTTTAGAATTAGTGGGGAGGAGAAAAATGTGTCCCATGCATAATTTTAGACACCCCTCTCATGTCTCATCTTACCCTTTATCTAAGCTGAACAATTCCAAGTCTAGTATCCTTCCCTTACAGGGGGATTACTCCTGCCCCTTGACTAGTTGAGCTGCCCCCTTCTGCACCTTTTCCAGCTCTACAATATCCTTTTTTTAGTGGCAGTGATCAGAACTGTACACAATATTTCAGGTGAAATCATGTTATATTACTAACTGGTTAATTCTGGATCAAAAAAGAAGAAAATTCTTACATGTAGATAAGAACAAATGCATATTGTTCCAATGAATGTATAACATTTTCAGATTCATAAAAGTTGGTTTATGAAGCCTACAACATCAGGCCTACATGCACCTCCCTCACCTGTCCGTCTCATATGCCAGCTTTGGTACATAGATCCAAGTCTGTATAAAGTAGACTTACTTGTTTCAGATGAAGCAGAGAATTCAAATTAAACAATCCAAAATCTTGAATTGTCAGGGTGCAACATAAGGGAACATGCTGGCCTGACACTTGTCCACAGGCATATAAGACATGGTATATATCAGCCCTTGACAACCAGCTGCATTCCAGATGTGTTGAACTGTATCTCCCACTTTCCGCAGCCAGTATGGCCATGGGAGTTACAGTCAAACACATCTCAAGGCCCAACTCTGGGCTAGTATACCATGACACACTATTTATGCCACTCTCTTCCACAAGTCAAGGTACTTTTCCAGACAGCAAGGTATGGGGCAGTAGGCATTACAGAAAAGCTATGTCTTACTTGGCTTGTTTTCTTTTCCCTTTGTGATAATGGTCAGCGTGTGAATGTAGAGCCGCAGATACCAGGGTACTGTCTCCAGCAGTAGCACAGGGAAGGCCCGGTAAGGGTGTGTGTTATAGACCAGGGTACTGATTTCTCCTGTCTGAAGGCCATAGCCACTCACGTAGCGCTGGGCATGGAGCACAGGCACTGTCTGATCCACTGCAGAATGGAAATTAAGCCAAAGGTTAGGAATCAAACTTCAGTAGCAGCACCACTACTAAATGCAATGAGTGTGTAGACAGAGGAACATTTTCAGCCACCTCTCCCCAAATTAGAATTGTAGGCTGAGGTTCCAGTCGTTATTCTCAATAACACCGAGGTTCCACAGTGTTACTGTGTTGCACCTCGGGCCAGGCCGTTCTTCAGATAGCCCCACTCCCCTCCCTAGCTTCACCCATCTCCCTCTGGCTCTCAGTCATTCCATGTCCCTCTATCCCACCACGGCAAATGCTGAAATGCCTTTCCTATGGCTTTGTTACTGGCAGCAAAAGCCTTAAACTAAAATATGCTAGTGGTTTTGGCTCTGACCCTTCTTCCCTCAGTCCCCTGGAAACCCCCAAGCATTTCTCTGAAAATAAGTGTGACTTCCTTGCTGAGTAAGAAAATGAAAGTCCCTCTGTACTCCCAAGCTGCACTGAATCCTCCCCCTCCCCCCCCCCCAAATAGCTATTGTTCCATCCTCCCTTGTAGCAACTAAGCAGGGCATGTGGGGATAACAGCTTTTGGCTAGGAAAGGGGGCTAGAATGTCCACATCTTGAGGTCTGGGACTACATCTCTGACGTCCCAGGTTCACTTGCCATGCTGGATGGAGCTGATGGAAGTTGCATGGGAGGGCGTCAGGTTGACTATTGCCTAATATGGGCACTCTAGCCAACTTTTCTAGCCAAAACCTGCTGTCCTCTTACAGCCAGCAAGCATATGGTATCCAGTCGAGACAGTCTAGTCAACTTTTCTGTTGGGGAGGACAGCAACAGCAATCCTGACACTGCTCATCTTGCTTCTTCAGTGCAGCTAAGTACACGTACTTACCAAATTCAAAATGCACAACTCAGTCTACCCCATTCAGTTGGCGCCCATTTGCCACTGCTAGAAGAGAGGACATGGGCATTAGATGTAGGAAAGCCACTGATCACTCACAGCTATCCTGAGGCCGTTTCCATTTTAATTGCACATTGAGGCTGCGAGAGGTATTGAAGAGTGCTGGGTTCAAGAGGTCATAGACAGCATAAATTCTTCTGTCTCCTTGGACAGATGCTTCGTGCACTGACAAGGGAGCTGGGGAAATGTCAAGTAACTCTTTCTCCTGAAAACGCAAACAAAATCATCATTAACCTCAAGAAAGATAGTCAGATCACCCATACCACAACCATGAATATCTAAGGCAGAGGTGGACAGTCCGGTGCTCTCCAGATGTTTTGGACTGCAATTCCCATCAGTCCCAGACAGCACAGCCAATGACCAGGAAACATGGGTTGCTGTCCAAAACAAATGGAAAACACCAGGTTAATTACATTTCCCTCCATGTGTGTATATAATGTATTCATTCATTCATTTCTTTAATGTCTATACTGCCCAACAGCCAAAGCTCTCTGGGCCGTTCACAAAGCATATTAAAAGGACAATAAAAAGCATCATATTAAAGACATATTAAAACATCATCATTTAACAATACAAAATTTAAAACCAAAGTTTAAACAAAACCCACGGGCTCACAGTTCGGATGCCTATGGCTTGCACATCACGCATCAAAGGGGAACTAATGTGTCTACGGGTTCCCTGTGCAATCAGGAGGCCCGACCGCTGGAGAGCCTGCTTGCATTGAACTGTAAGCATGAAGATTCTCCATGTAAACACTGCACTGAATGAAGCACTGACACTGGTGGGAAATGGAGAGGCTGGTTCAGCAGGGCATGGTCCACTTCTCCTTCACCATGTAATGGATATACACACTGAGGGGGTCATTTGAACTCCCTTCGATCCTCAAGGATTTGTGTGTTGCAATAGTCACGGGGACATGGAGCACCTGAATGCCTGTAGATCTTTGACTAAATACCCTTTAGTACTTTCAGCCATGTCAACTCAGAGCAAATCTGGTTTCATCAGAGAGCAACACTATGGAGTCAATGTTGGAGAACACAACCATTTTAAGTAAGTGTAGCCATTTGGAATTATGAGAGGGTATCATGAGTCCTCTTACAAAATTGCTGCCATCAGGATGCAGCTGCCCATTCATAAAATGGCTACCATGGTGGTCATGGCGGCCCACAACACATTTTCCAGAAGGCAAATGAGAGAGAGTGAAAGAAAAGCAACTTACTCAACAACTTAAGTATAAGGCAGAGGCAGGAAGTGATCTCCAAAACACAAAAACACAATTTTCAATCCAATGCAGATGGTGCTGGGACGCAGCACTTTGTTTGCAGCTTCTCAGTCTCCCCCTTGTCTGTGTGTTTTTAATTAATTAAAAATATTTATAAAACAAAAAATCAGGCAGAATAGGCAGAGGTGTCTGCCGGTATACCGGTACAAACTGGCACCAGGCTGGAGACTCCAGTAATACATAAAGCTCAAATGAAGCTGCGTCTGGGCACCCTCTTATGGCATGGGTGCTTTAGCTTATTGAGAAAAAGTGAAAAGGAAAAGGTTACCTGGCCTTTATTGGATATGTCAACATAGACTTTGCTCTGAGATGCCAAAGGACATGCTTCAGTAAGAGTGCGAGAAAAAATCTTAAAGAGGGACCAGTCTGTTGAGAGAGCAACACAACAGTCATGTCAAGAGATGTGTAAGGAAAGGTAACCATACAGAGTAGTCTTACACTGCAGGGTAGTTTGAGATACCTTTCTTACCTTTCTTTCCATGGCCATTGGCAAAACTGTCGAAGACAACCGTGAGAGTCTGTCGCAGTTCCCATGACACACTCAAGCAAGAGGCATCCTAAGAGAGATGGCCAAAAGGAGAGAAAGAAATCATGCATCTGAAATTGCAATAGTCTAAAAATATTACAATGGTAGCAATCTCAACATTAGAACACTACCTTCCCAAAGAGAATAGCCCCTTTTCTTTTAAAATCCATTTTAAAAGACAGTATGATGGAGAAATAAAACATATGCATACAGAGTTTCTAACCTACTTTTAACAAGTAAGAGTCAAAGAACATTCTAAAAGAAAAGCAAAGCATCAGGTAGGCAGGCAGACGCACGTTCATGGCAGCTGGGCCAGTTTGTGCCACACATGGGTCTTGAAAGAAATGCAGGAGAATTCTTGGTCAGCAGCTTGCTCCCAAAAAAGGTAAACAATTTTAAAAAAGGGAGAGCCAGCCAACAGAGCTGACAAACTTGAACAAAACTTGCAGATCAACACTGTCACCCAGAGCCAAAGCTATATTTGGAGGAGGAAAGCTCTGCTGTATCCTTCAGAACTGTGGACGTGCCAGCAAGATATGTTTTTAATTGCAAAGGGGACTGCTAAACCATGTGCACAAAATGGGGTTTCTCACCTCAACAGATTGTGATACACAGGGACCAATCCATTCCTTAACCAGTACAGGACAGCTTCCTTGCTACAGATTTTAAGAGATCACACTCAGGTAACTGGATTCAGATCAAGTAAATCCTGCTCCTGGCCCTTCCATCAGAACTTCAGAGCTGGAAGTAATGCCACTTTTTGCATGCTGAAAAGTAGCGTGGATTGCCATCATGGCAGTTCATCACCCACAATGTTTATGTGTTCCGGGAACCAACAAAATGCGGTAAGACAGTTGAGTCAAAGCTGTGAAGCAGCAGCTTCAAAGCAGTAACGGCAACAGCTAGATAGTGAGATGAATTTTTAAGTCTTGGGGAAGGTTTTGACATCTCTTCTGATGCAGCACAGCCAGACTCACCCTGCAAATGGGACGGATATGCACAGCCTGGGAGTGGTAACTACTGTAGAACAAGTGTTCAGCCTTTAGCAGAACAGCCAGCCCAGCCTGCAGAGATGAAAGGAAACAAAGAACATGGCTGAGCATCTACTCCATAGAATAACTAGAAATATGCCATTCAGAAAAACTTCCTCACTGTTAACAGTAATATGACAATGGACCCACTTATCGAAGGAGTTGTGGGCTCTCCCACACCGGAGGCTTTCAAGGTGCAATTGGACAGTTATCTGTTAGGGATGCTTCAATCCTGCATGGAGCAGGGGTTAAACCCAATGGCCATACTGGCTCCTTCCAACTCTTACTTTTTTATATAATTAGTCTGGTAAGTAAGAAACCACGTATAACTGCTTCCTATAATCTCACCCCAATTATTGCTACCCACTTGAAAAGGCAGAACTTCCACACAAAAGCTGCAGATATCCAAATGTATGTTTCACTAGGCTGAAGGAGTCCAGAGGCACAGCACCTGTTGCTTCAAGACTGCGTCTCTGTGACCGCAGCCACATGCTCACCTTTGAACTGCATGGCAGCAGCTTCTTCCAGGGCGTGAGGTTCTCGGTGCAGACAACTTCCCGAGGCAGGACAGCATATCGTAGGAAACGATGATCCGTAACTAAGCCATGGGATAGAAAGGTTAGAAATTGTTATTATTTTATTTTTATTCTATTTCTTGGCCACCTTTCAGGACAGGATCCCTCCCAAGTCAGTGTCTGACAAAATACATAATAAAAGGCATGATAAAACAGCAACCAAAACAAGTATAATTGGGAAGGCCAGAGTAAAATATGTTTGCAGAACTTTCTTAAATGCCTGCAATGATGGGGCTGACAGAATCCCAATGGCAATGTATATCAGAGGAGTGGAGGCACTCTGGGAAAGGCACTCTCTCTTGTGGAAGCCCAGTAAAAGAGCTGGGCTTCCACAAAAAAAAATTCCACTGTCCTTACAGGTGGAAAATTCAGGAACTCTCCTGCAGGTTATCAGATATGAAATTCTCTCACCAGAGAATTATGTGCTGTGCAGCAACTCCTATCTTATTGTGTTGGTATATTTCTAAGCAGGGTTGTTGTTGTTAGTCGCGAAGTCATGTCTGACCCATCGCAACATTCTTCCAGGCCTTCCGGTCTTCCATCATCCCCTGGAGTCCACTTATGCTCACACTAACTGCCTCAGTGACTCTATCTAGCCACCTCATTCTCTGCTGTCCGGACCCTTCTTCTTTTGCCCTCAATTGTTGCCAGCATCAGGCTCTTCTCCAGTGAGTTCTTCCTTCTCATTAGGTGGCCAAAGTATTTGAGTTTCATCTTCAGTATCTGGCCTTCTAAAGAGCAGTCAGGGTTGATCTCCTCTAGGACTGACCGGTTTGATCGCCTTGCTGTCCAAGGGACTCGCAGGAGTCTTCTCCAGCACCACAATTCAAAGGCCTCAATTCTTCAGCGCTCAGCCTTCCTTATGGTCCAGCTTTCACAGCCATACATTGCAACTGGGAAAACCACAGCCTTGACTATACGCACTTTTGTCGGCAGGGTGATGTCTCTGCTTTTTAGTATGCTGTCTAGATTTGCCATTGCTTTCCTCCCAAGGAACAAGCATCTTTTAATTTCTTGGCTGCAGTTCCCGACTGCGGTGATCTTGGAGCCCAGGAAAAGAAAATCTGTTACTACCTCCATTTCTTCCCCATCTATTTGCCAGGAGGTAAGAGGACCGGATGCCATGATCTTAGTTTTCTTAATGTTGAGTTTCAAGCCAACTTTCAAGAGGCTCTTTAGTTCCTCTTCACTTTCTGCCATTAAAGTGGTATCATCTGCATATCTGAGGTTGTTGATATTTCTACAGGCAATTTTAATTCCAACTGGTGATTCATCTAGCCCTGCCTTTCTCATGATGTGCTCTGCATATAAGTTAAATAAGCAGAGTGACAGTATACAGCCTTGCCAAACTCCTTTCTCAATTTTGAACCACTGATTTGAACCAATCAGTGGTTCCATGTCCAGTTCTCACTGTTGCTTCTTGACCCACATATAGGTTTCTCAAGAGACAAATAAGATGGTCTGGTACTCCCATCTCTTTAAGAACTTGCCACAATTTGTTGTGATCCCCAGGGTTGTGTGCAGGGTTAGATTTTTAAAATTTGTGTTTGGATTTCATTAATGTACTACTATTACAATTCAATGGATTTTGCACAATGCCTAGAGAGCTTGTTTGATTAAAAAGTAATAATACGTGCACACAGACATTGAATCTCTTACCATTTGCCAATCCTAGAGGTTTGAAGGATGCTGTTGGAATTACTGTGTTGGTGGAATCAATGAAGTTCAGAGAGGCACAGAATATCCCAGAGAGTATGTTGCTAAGATCATTCCAAGCTTTGTCAACACTGGATGAGGGAAAACATAACAGACAATGTCCTATGAGTCACCTGAAATTTTCATGATGGTACTTTAGAAACTGTTTTCAAACTGCATTCTTTAAGTGCTAAGCTGTGTTTCGGGTTTTAACACCACTTTGGGGGCAATTTGGCCAGCAGAGAATGCACCGTATAAAAGCTGCAAACAAATAAATGAGAAGTGAAGGCTTCATTCCAATTTTAGAACCACAGAACAAGCCTATGGAATAAAGTTTCTAGCACTAATGGATAGGCAGTCTTCCCTAACTCAGTGACCTACAGATATGTGGGACTGCAGCTCCCATCATGCCTAGTCAGCACGGCTAATGGCTGAGTTGAAGTCCAACACATCTAGAGGTGCCAGGTAGGGGAAGGCAGATATACAAGAACTAGCTCAGCTTTCCCAATCTGGCAATATTCCTATGGATACCAGTCACTGGGAAACAGGAGCAGGAGGGTGCTATCATACTCATGTCCTACTTGTGGGTTTCCCATGGGCAACTGGTTGTCCAGTTTGTGAACAGAGCACTGGACTAAATGGACTTTGGCCCAACCCAGCATGGCTTTTCTTATATTCTTACTGGTACTGTCCAGGCATCTGGCTACTTGAGAAACAATTGTTTGCTGAAAGTCAGTGCTTACTCTGCAGATGCCCTCAGCCAGGTCATCTGTATTGCAATGCAGCATTAATTGATCTGGCTTACCATTAATAGACATTGCAGTTGAATGCAGAAAGGAAGCTTCTGTCTCTAGGACCTGGGTAAGATGGAACCAGTATTCTCTGCCTGAGTGGGTCACTTCAGGCTAACCATAACAAAAGTACAACTTCCACTGTCCTAAGTAATCAGCAAATCTGGCTGGGCATGATGGGATTTGTAAACTAAAACATCTGGAGAACACCAATGTGGGGAAGAATAATCCACTCTTCTGAAAAAGTACGCTGTGATATAGGAGGGACAATGGCATTCCCCGCAAACCCCTTTTGATATCTAAAATGAAGATAACACTGCATATATCATTTTTTACCTTAATGCTATGTATATCTTCATTATGATTTAGCTGCAGCTCTTGTTCAGTCACTAAAAACTGTTATTTTTAATCTTACATTATAAACTAGTAGGACTCCTTTCATATATTTTGAATAGGAGAACAGCTTCCTGAAGAGTCAAAGTCAGTGCTAAAGGGCTGCATGCATTAAACAGAATCTACCCATGTACCATTAATCCATGGTTGGCCTATACGGGGTGGGGGGGGCAGATAGGGGCTGTGCCGAGATATAGGTGTGTTTAGTGACTGATTAGCAGATAAACAGTCAAGTGCTGTGAATTGTGACAGGTCCCAAGCACAGCTTTTAACATTCAGATGAAGGAGATTACATTGGGACAAAGAGAATCTTTTCTGTAACATGAGAGCCTGCAGGAAGCTTGTTTAGCAGAGGAATGTAGCGATGTACTTAACTAGCTGATTTAATTAACTAGCTAGTGCTTCATTCCTGAGTGGAGCTTCCAGCAGATCAGCAGCTGTGTTGGCCCATGTTTTGAGCAATGGAGCCGCAGCAGAGGGGTTCAAGAGCCACGTGCGACTCCGGAGCCGTGGGTTGCCAACCCCTGTCCTGGGGGTGATGTGGGTCAAGATAACCATGTACAAAATGTGACTGAATGTTTCTTGCTGATTATGTTAACCCTTTTTGATAGATGTGTCCTGCTTTTATTGAGTAATGTTTCTTGCTATGACTTTTTCTGCTCCTAATCATTATAAAAAGCTAAACATATCAATTGAGTGTGCTTGGTAACTGTGGCAGCCAATCCCAATTGGAGGAGGGCTGATTCTATCTTACTGGTGTGTACCTACAATAAAGGGGGTGGAGTTAATATAAAATGACTTACTGGTGTTGTCTGTCTCTCACGGTCTGACAAGAAACAATGGGGACTTTTTTAGTCCTCAACAGCTGTAAGTCTTGGCCATCTTCAGTCAAACAGCTGAGTACCAAAATAGGACCTAGGCAACATTAGAATTTCTAAGCGAAACTAACACTTTCTACTAATTTACACCATATAATGGCCACCTTCATGTCTTGGACTTGCATCACTAGTGGGGAAGGGAAGGCAGACCAGCCTTTGCACACTTGCCCAGGAGTGTAAGAGTCACAGTCAGCTCATGCACTTACTCAGTGACAGAGTCTTGAAACCAGACCCAGAGCTCAGCTCCAGCAGGAGCTTGCAAATAAGGCTGGCCCCAGCTCCGTGTTCTCCAGAAACCTTGTGTGAGGGACAGGTGCAACTCACGCACAGAAAACTTGGAAATGAGCTGCCCCAGGGCTTTGGGGAAGAGCCGGTAATGAGAAACTGGAGGGAACAGGAAAAGAGAAATGCTTAGGCACAGTTAGAAGACCATCCCTTCTCTTCCACCCACTTTCCCGTTGCAGCCATATTCCATGCACTCATGCTAGTCAGTCAGTATCCTTCTTTCATAGCTGACTAGGTTGTCTCCCTCTCCTGCAACTCTGCACTTGCTTCTTTGGCAGTAGCACTGGCTTTGCTCTCTTTTTTCCTACCTCATGTCTTCATTGCTTCCCAACAGCTCCTAGCACTACCAATCCAAAGTCACTGTACAGCTAGACCATCTTTTACGAGAGGATCTTCTATGTTAAGAAGGCAGAAGTAGTGAGAAAACATGGAAGTGTTCCTGGTAGAAGTCAATTTTTGGATCCTTGTGAAATGCCACCAACAAAGCAAAACAATGGCATAATAACAGCCTAATCTGGAAGCAGTACCAGCAAGATTGGCTCATACCCAAGATTTTCAGGGAGACGCATTTGCCCTGGAACTCATTCATACAACAGTGGGCTCATGTCACTCTTCTCACATAGTCCAGTTTCATTTCCCCAAAGCTTTGTTTTACTTTTAAAGGATCCTTGGATCCCAATTTGAAACAAATCTTGGTTAGTATAATATGCCAACTTCATAAATTATGGTTTACTTGTTGTGAAACTGACCAGAGCTTGTTTCAAACCAGAAACACGAATTCAAACCAGCACCAAGCCAGGATTCATTCAAAGTGAAATCAAACTATCAAAATTGTTGTCCTCCTCCTCCTCTTGGCTATGTAGAAAAGGGAAGGGAGAGTGTGTGGGTCCCAATGCTTTGCCAGTCATTCAGGCTGATCTCATGAAGTGCTAAATTGCTTTCCCCAACCTGGTGCCCCACAGATGTTTTGAATGACCAGTCCCATCCAAGCAGCATAGTCAATAGTCAAGGACCAAGGCATTTGTCGTTCCGAACATCTAGAATGCATCACCTCACTCCTGTAAACCTGCACTTAATGTGCATTCCCTCTGCCCAAGCAGGGGAGACCATTTATTTATTTATATCTCTTTTTTCTTACAATGAACTCAAAGCTGCTTACATCATTCTCTTCCTGCTGCTCTCAATCTTATCCCCACAACAACAACTCTGTGAGGTATGTTGGGTTGAGAGTCTGTTACTGACCTAAAGTCAGTTGGCTCCATGGCTGAGTGGGGACTAGAACTCAGATTGCCAGAGTCCCAGACTCACGCTCTTAATCATTGGCTCTCTGACACCAAACTGGATCATTTACTATCATTCAGCACAGGGAGCAAAATGGATTGCAGAGGAGAGGAGGAGGAGCAGGAGCTGCTCACAGGAGACATAGAGCAGCTCAGTAGGGGATTTTGTTTGTGTATTCCTGCAATAACACTGTAGAGGGGTCAGCTGTTTGTCCAAGAATCCGCAATCCTTACGTGAATCAATGAGATTTAGGACGGTAGCAGCACTTAATTAGAAAAGAGATATTCCCCAAGTTCAATTAAACTTTTACTTCCAAGTAGAAAAGCCTTATACAGCAAACCTACATGTACTTACTTGAATACAACAGCCTGTACTTACGATCAAGGCTGTTGCATCCAACCGAACCGCCTCGAATTGCCGTTATTACCCCATACCGGGCATGTTTACTTGGAAGCAAATCCTTTTGAGTTTAAATAAATACACCCAAGATTGCATTCTTTGCCTTCTAATTACACTACATTTTTGTCTTGCAAGGAGTCGAAGCCCCATGTGACCGTGCGGGCCGAGGACGGGGCAGCCTGCGGGACAACACATCTGCAGAGTACCAGGCTGAGGAAATACCAATATACTGGAGGAATATCCAGTGCAAAGCTCCGCGCACAGACGCGCTCCCACTCTCCTCTGGGCAGCAACGTCCCGTGCTCGCACCAAGCCTGCCGCCCGGAGGCCATTCAGCCCCAGGGGCCGTGACAGGCTCCGCCCCCTTACCGCCCTCCCGCTGCAGGTCGGAGTCCCAGCGGGTCCGAAACTGGAAGGTGGCCGCGATGTCCCCGGAAGGGAGCGGGCTGAGCAAGAGCTCCTCTCGCAAGGAATCCCGCGGGGCCTCGGCCGCGCTCTCCACAAGCCCTGCCGCCAGCAGCAGGAGCCCGAACAGCGCCTTGGCCACCTCCATTTTCGTCGCGCCCCGGGAAGAGAAGCTCCGCCCATTCTCCGGCTCGCACTACCGAGCCAATGGAAAACAGAAGGGCCGCTGCAAGCCCGCCTTTCGTATCCTTGTAGCCAATGCAGGCGCTCGCCGAGATTCAGAAAGCAGAGCTACAAATGATAGAGTTATTATCTCAGTTAGGTATTCCGGGGTCACTGCAGCCGTTTTTAAATCCCCCCCGGGTCCTAAAAGTATGAAAAGAGCCCTGGTGGGTCACACGGCACACAGTGCCAAACCAGCAGTAGTACCCGACGCCCGTACGTTAAGGGGCTGCAGATAGAGATATATAGGTAGGCTCCTCTCATTTCCTCCCCGATGAAGGTGGTGGTGAGAGGGAGGGCAGAATGGTCTGTTGAAAACGAAAGTTCCGGCTGCCTATCATTCTAATTTTCTATGCGTATGCAGGCAGTGACTCAGGATTAGGTGATGTTAAGGCCAGCGCTATAGTGGAGGCAGAGCATATAAAAACTGTGAACCCACACTTCTTGTTGTTGATATTGTCAGCAAGGGCACTGGCGTCATCTGCCACCCCCTTCAGAATTCCCTGCTCCCTGTGAGCTGAGTTAGTCTGCAAGCTCCACTAAATCAGGGGATGGAACAAATGACTTCTCCAACAGCAATATATCCTTCCGTGATGTAATGCAAAGCATTTTGGTATTGGGCCATTAACCGTACAAGAAAAATTTCCGTAACTCCCAATGCCCCAGGCAGAACGCTGAGGGCTGTAGGGCTTTTTTCTTGTCTAAGTAAATATAGGATTGCATCCTAAGATCCATTAGCTTTATGGCAGACCTGCTCCCCTAACAGATGAAGATACACCTGCCCAAACTATTGGGCTCTCCTTAGGGATGTTGCTGAAAGAATTCCGCTTCACACTTTAGCACTACAGAACCTTTAAGCCATATGGATAGTTGCACAGTGCTCTCATCAACAGGCTTACAGGTGTGGATTTCTGGCTACATTTTTATTCCCCAGTCTGGTGCCCCCAGATGTGTTGCATTTCAGCTCCTGCCCAGCCATGCCTTAGTGGTATCTATCAGAAAGCAAGCAGCAGCACTTCAGAGCCAGGGTGGTGTGGTGCTAGAGTATTGGACCAGGAACCTGGAAGATCCTGATTCTAGTCCCCACTTGGCCCTGAAGCTTACTGGTGTAGCCAATTTATTTATTTGTTTAGGATTGGACACTGTATTTGGGGTTTTAATGTTTGTAAACCACCCAGAGAGCCCTCTGGGCTATTGGGGTGGTATATAAGTGCAATCAATCAATAGGCTAGACACTCACTCTCAGCATAACCTATCTTGCAGGGTTGTTTTCAGGATAAAATGGAACTATGCAAGCTTCTCTGGGTTCCTTACAAGAGAAAAAAAAAGTAGAATGCAATGTAATGTAAAAAAAATGTATTTCCTTCTTTCCTTTCCTGCTGATGATCTGTTAAGGAAAAGACAAACCTCTTATATTTAGCTAGAACCCAAACCAACCACGACCAGATGATCAAATTAAAAGGGACATTAACATGTAATTGCCCCTGATGGAAAGTTGAGAGTCTCACAGGATCAGCTTTACCACTAGAGAAATAAAGTCTGTACCTCAAGGGCAAACGCCAGGGAATAGCAGGGTGTTGGGGGATCAAGCCATGTGCCCATTGCATACCTTGAATCCTCTAAACTAGCCTGCTGTCTTCAGTGAAGTACAGGATGCTGTCTCATTCCCAGTATTAAAATAAGATTCAACTACCCGTCCCACTGGCTTTTGTATAAACCAGAGTTCTGAAATGAGCCGGCACAGTTCTTGTAGTACAGCCACTAGTATATTTGCTATTCAGGATGGGGATAAAGTACATCTCAGGCTTCCCACCGGCATTCTTGCCACATTTGTGGGATTTGAGATTAGCTGGTGTTCTCATGGTGATGTCAGCAACATGGAGGAGAACAGGCTGGAGCATTTCACTTTGCACTTAGCAGCTATTGCTCTGAAGCAGAACTTGACCCTGGCAAACATTTCTTGGCTTCAAGAGAAGGCTTTCCATATCTTGGCAACTCTTTAGATTCCTGTGGAGGGCCAAACTGGAAGCACTTTTTATCAGCACTTAAAAAAAAATCTGATCTGCTTGTCTGTGGCATTTCTCTGCCATAAATTAGTGTCTCAACAGACCTGGAGAGAGTATGCATTTAATGGAGAGCTTGAAGGCCACCTTGAGTGAAACAGGTGCTTTTAAGGCAGTTCAAATAATACTGCTGCCCAGACTTGACAAATGTCTCCAGGCTCCAAATGACAGAGCAGTTAAGAGTTCTGCATCCATTTTCTATGATAGGGGAAACGGTTCTTTAAAAATTATTATTATTATTATTATTATTATTATTATTATTATTATTATTACATTTCTATGCCACCCCTTGCCGAAGCCTCGGGGCAGTTTACAACACAATAAAATACATTGAAATACAATAGAACATAATAAATTACCATTAAATACAAAAATACAAAAAATACACTGAGTTACAAACACAATAATATAAAATTAAAATTATCAGTATAAAATAAGTAAATAAATAATATAGGAGGAGGAAAGAGAAGGAAGAAGAAGTTGCCCTGGCCAGATCATATGTTTTAACAATTAAAATGATGTTTAAATAAAAAAAATGGGCCTAGGCCAATAAGTCTTTGTCAGAAAGCAGTGTGGTGAAAACATAAGATAGGTAGGGGATCCAGCTTTATTGGAGGAATAAAAAGATCAAAAGTTAGGTACCCATACTAATACAGTAGAGAAATAAAGAGTGCACGGTTATGGAAATAATAGCTTGTATTGCAGCCAATTAATGCTCAAACTGCAGTGTGCAAGCTTTTGAGTAATGCAAGAGAACCTCCTTGGCTGAATGATTAAAACTAAATTTAGAAAGAAAGAAAAATATATAGACATGTGTTAAACTCAGTTTCTTCTTTTCTGAAGCTTCCCTCCCCTCCACCTATTTTAACTGGAAGAGGGACAAGACTTGCATCCCAATTCTAAATGTATTTATCTAGCATCCCATTGGCTTCAGTGGGATTTCAGGGTCAGGATCAAAGGTTGGCATGTTTGCACAAATATCAAGGGCTCACACCCCGGCAGAGGCCTACTAATAGGAGCCTGCTAGATCCACAGCTGGCAACAGTGCTGGTAGGATGGCAGGCTTTTTGAGAGCAGGGGACAGTTGGGGGATGGCTTACCCTTCTGGTTAGCATAGTAAGTCTTTCTTAGGCTTTTGGCCTTAATGAGGTTATAGCTAGGCCATTTGCTAAGGCTTGGTCCTTGGGCAGTAAATCCATTCTCTTGGAGAGCCTACCGTTGTACCAGCATGGTTGCCAGCCACAGCAGCTACTCCTCCTGTTCCTCATTGCTACCATCTGGCTTGCTTGCCTCGCAAGAGACAAGGCGCAAACAGGCAGTGGTGCCCACTGTTCCTCCTTCCTGCCCACAGCCACCAGTGGCTATAGGAAGAAGCAGGTGAACAAGCTGATTGCAATGATGATGAAGAGAAGCAAGCTTAGGCTCTCTTACAGGGGGCCTTGCTGGAGTGTGGGTGCCCAACAATGCCTACCCTTAAGCATCAGCCCGGCTGTAAGCATGCTTCCCAGTTCGCCAGAATTCATGTTTCTCCACTAGAGGGTAGGCATGGTCTTTGCTTAGACCTCAGTCACCCTCTCTTAGAGCCTGAAGCTGGAGTGTATTGAGTACTTCATCAAATCACGCTTATATCAAGCTATTTAAACACAGCCTTCATTTGAAGCAGACAAGCAGGCCCACTGGTTTTTAGTTGTGATGTAGTAAGATAATTTTAGAATCTGAAATTAATGATTTATTGGGAAGAGGAAGTGCTCTTCAGATGCCAATGTGTATTATCTCAGACACTGCAAATTGTGAGAAGCCATTCTTGCTGCATTTGGAGGCCTACTTGCCCCCCCGCCCCCCGCACGAGTCGTACCCTGCACATCTGCCCTGATAGTGCTGCTGGGATTTGATATTGACTACTACTTGCAGAATTGGAAATGTGCTCTAGAGACTCAATGGACTGTTACCAGAAGAGTTCAGAGTGGGTCTTCATAAGAGAACTTACAGGATTGTGCAATGATAACACTCGGGTGATCTGGACACATAGCTCATTTTTGGAGATCCTTGCCCAAACTATGCAGTTGTTTGCAAAGTAAGTCCAAGAACACAGTCCTATCAATTGCACCTTTGATTTTCAGAAGTCTTCACAGTTGGAGGCTTCTCATTACCCAATCAGGATAAGAAAACTGGTGAAGGCCGTCTTCTGCTTTGTGTTTTTCATGGGTGGTGGGTTTGCCTATGTAGCAATATCACTTTGGAAAGGGAGGAAAGGAGGCTGGAAGAGACGCAAGAGAATTTCCAGTTTCCTTCCTGTCTTGCCCACTATTCTTCCTCTCTGAGATTGATTTTATGAACTCAAAAGGTAGCCAGTGAAGTTGTTTCCATGCTGATTGTTAGGATGATGGGGATCAGATCCTTCTTTTCCTTCTGAGGCCAGAGTGTTGTCTCTGGTCTCAGATGGGTTAATCCCCAGAGTACTATGGCCCCTCAGACAATGTCTAGGGGCCATAGGATTGCTCCCTAAAAGCTGAAAAATATCTGACACAGTTTAGATCTGAAAGAACATAGTACAGACCTCCACTGTAAATGTTATTTGAATATGTTATACAGTACTACTTTTCTTTGGCGGTAATTCAAGGAATTTGGGTGTCTCTGGCCATCCTACTTATGTAAGATTATACACAAATCCAGCATTGATAAGATGAAACAGTTCTTATGAATACATTCATTTCATTTAAAAATTGGATATTGTATCTCCTGATTCAAATAAGATTATAAATGCTTTTCTCACTTCTTCCTATGCAGTTTAACAGTTACTGTTCAATATTTGCCCCTTGCTGCCCCGGCAAATGCAAATCATGTGTTATATCCCTGCTATCAGGAATATATGTATGGGCTGTTCTAGATGGTGCTGTAAATGGACAGCTATCACCAAAAAACAGCCACCACTCTTCCAGGCTGGTAGATGTGAATGTCTAATAGAACTTACCTATGTCCTCATGGTGCAGCATTCTACGTGTCTCACCTCCACGGTCTTGATTTCAGGTGGTGGGTGGTAGGGAAACATAGAACATACTGATATCAGGACACACAGGTACCTTCTATTAGATGTTGTGTTGGTGGGGAGGAGGAACTAGATGAATAGTTGCCTTTTCTTTCTCTGCAAGAATCATATGTTTAAGATAATATCTGGGTTGGCTTTTTATATTGCTATGTCAACTTATTTTTTTTCTCCAGTGTGATCTCCCAGCATTGTGTGCAATGGTGTCATTCCACTAGAACAGTCTTCTCCAACATGGTCCCTCCAAATGTTTTAGAATACAACTAGGATTCCTGACCATTGGCTATGCTGCTTGGGGAAGGCTGCACTAGTGCAAAGCCTGAGAGCTCCTATTCATCCTCAGGCAAATGTCAAATGCAGTACTTCAGTTCTGCTTGCACAAGCTGTTCTATGGGCATTTCCCAAGCCATTCTATAAGCTATCTCAACATTCATGATGACTTCTTTAGACCAGGTGTTGCTTGAACGAGTTGTTCTGCTGGCAATTGCAGAAGTGCTAACAGAATAACACCAACTCTTATATTTTTCCCACTAGTGTAGAGCCAGCTCATTCCATACATAGATTCATCACCTCTCCAGTCTGGTTTTATGCGAGTCAGAAAAGTTGGAACCTACAAAGCCTTATATCAAGTCAGATCATTAGTTTATGTGACTGTCCAGGGGTTCAAGTGTTAGCAAGCTGGTGCCCTCCAGAAGTTTATAATTGATGATCGCTGGTCAAGTTGGCTGAAGCTGATGGGAGTTGTAGTTCCCAACATTTAGAGAGCACACAATTGCCTATCCATGGTCTACCCCAACTGCCAGCGGCTCTCCAGAATTTCAGACAGGATCCTTTTCCATCCATACCTGGAGATGGCAGGGATTGGTCTTGGCGCCTTTTCTGTGGAACCCTTGTCCTTGGTCACTGAGCTATGCCTCTTCTGCAAGAGCAAGTGCTCTTCCTTCCCCACTCCTGATTTCTTTCTTTGTAGCATCTTGCGGAAAATCTGTCCTCTGCACTTTGTGCTGGCACCAATGGAGGATTTCTTTCACGAAGAAACTCATGTTTGGCGGAGGGATTTTTCTCAGTACAGCAGCAGAGGTAGAAAACATTAACCCCTCACCACACGCACACTGCTGCCAGCATTAAACAACAACCTCTCCTCTTGCAAAAAAAAACACTGCAAGTTAAATGCAGAAGACGTCTTCTGTCCAAAAGAGGGCAGTGCTCCTTTCTCTGTAGCAGTTGTGTAACTTTCGCGGCAGTAACTACATCTGCTCAAATTCCCTCTTCTGCACAGCTTACAGCACCCTAATTTAATGTTAAGCCTAGTTTATCTTCACTTGTAAATTGAATTGTCCTTCGCTGCATTTCATTGCTACTTGAATCCAGTGTTTACATGTCCTCCCCCTCCCCCTCGTGGCTGCCTTTGCCAATATCGTGCTTTCTAGATGTTTTAGACTACAGTGGTCAGAATTGGCCATGCTGGTTGGGGCTGATGGGGATTGTAGCACAAAACATCCGGAGGGTGCTACCTTGGAGAGGGCGGGCACACAACTACAGACGCATCTGGTGAAGAGGACATGAACTCACAAAGGCTTATGCCATGATATTTTTGTTAGTCTTTAAGACGGTGCAAGACTGCTCCTTTTCTGCACCAGTGCGCTCAGCTCTCCCACAAGGTTCCTGTCTGGAGTTTTCCGGCAAAGTAGTTACATTTTGTGTTCTGCCTTTGTAGTTCACCCTTTTAGTGCTTGTATTTTTCCACTGGTTTTCTCATTGCTTAGGGTGGGTTCTCTCTGTGGCTACCAGATCTCTAGCATTGGATTCCCTCCCCACCCACCTGTTCCCTGAGTCACTTCCTCCTTTTAGTCCTCCCCTCTGTATTCAGCCTCCTTCTGAAAAGCAATTGCCAGAGCTGGGTTTGCAAGTACAGCATGACTCATTTGCACCTGGATGAATGCTGCAGTACTGGATTTTGTAGCTGAGACCTAAGAGGGTTGAGTTAGTGCCAATGCCAGGCAGCTTCTGGGAGCTCCCCAGAAACTGGGCTGGCCCAAGGTTATTTATAAATCAGGCTCTTTTCCACTCTCATAGTCAGTGCAATTTTGTTTTTCCACTGAAACAGGGTTGCTACCTGTGTGCTTGATTGTAGACAGAGGCTTTCACATGACCTGACAGCTGCTTCTGATGTTAGTAATTTCCCACGTCTGTTTTCAGTGTGGGAAATACATGCAGACTACATGACTATCATGTGTGAAGACTGAATAAATATCTTTTTTCAGTGTGCACACATACAGGTAAACTGTAATCAGCCACGGCTCCTTGACACATGTCAACTTGGCAAGATTGGTGTGCCGCTTCATTTTCTGTGTTGCAGATTTGCAGTGTCTGAAATGACCCTCAGTGATAGACAATTTTCAATTTGCAAAGGTTGCAGAGAAGGTTGCATTTAACTCAGGCTTGGGACCTCAGCTGGGAATAATAATAGGTAACTCAGAAGCTTGGTTCACACAAAATGCAAAGCCATGGGAAGATTAGTTGAAACATGGATTGTTGTGTCTGAACCCATCTCCAGAAACAAACCATGGTTAACCACCTGCAAATCACAGAAACCACTATTTGCTGTTAGCTTATGAAATCTGATTTAAATCATGGCATGTTGTGGTGCTTAAACCCAGAACCATGACTTGGCCCTGGCTTATTTATGCTGCTTTCTACCTGTGAGACAGAGGTAGAAAGCAAAAGCAGTCTGGAAATGAAACTTATTCCACTTAGTCTTTGAACTAGTATAGTGGTGGAATACAAGTTGAATAAATAAAAAATAACAAACTGTTCTGAAGTGAGTGAAATGAGTAGGAGAGAAACAAAGCAGAAATAAGGAAAACATTCTGCAGTTTGTTTGCTTACCTGCAAGTCAATTCATGGTAAAAGCAACAAACCATAGCTAGCTTAAATTATGGCTTAATATTATGTGCAGTCACTGTTTCTCAGCACAATTACCCATCTGTAAACTGACAAAATTACCTGTCTTAAAGTTGACTTGGGGATAAGATAGATTTTGTTAAGTGCTCCATTAAAAGAGTTATACAGAAATCATTCAGTGTTCTGATACAATATTGCACATACGGTTTTTCTATCCATATTACACACATATAACAGATAGCTTATGATCATGAAGTGATGCCATTCATTGACTTTTTCATCTTTCAATGCAATAAAAATTTGAGTTAGTCAAAATGTTTTAATCGATTAATCTAACCAATTAATTGACTAAATGCTATAGCCACAGGTAAAAGACAATGTTCCATCCAGGAATGCAGTAACTTCCCATAGTGAAGCTATCAAGAGATAAAAGCCACTGGGTGTATTATCTAAAGAGTTATGAATATTCAGACTTCAGGTACTTCAAGGTGAGGTTTTTATGATGCAATCACCTTGCTTCATCATTCACCCGATTTTATGAGGGTTCAGACATACTGTATTTGTAGCCCTGCTGTGTTTCCCTACTACTTCCATCTTTTTTTACCAGAATAAAATTAGTTAAGGAAGGAAAGAGAGTGTTGCTATACAAAGCCTTTTGATGAGTGCTATCAGGCACTATCTATTTGGAAGCAACCCTCCTATATTCATTTGGTCCTGGGGGACTTTTCCTTCATTCAGTATAAGGCTGGGGAAACCTGTGCCTACCCCCCACCCCCCACCCCCAGTGTTGCTGGAATTATAACTCCCATCATTCTTGACTATGCTGACTGGATCTGATGAGAGTTGGGAGTCCAATTATATCTTGAGAGTCATACATTCCCCATCTCTAGAGTAATAGATTCCATTTCCTATGCAGGTTTCCTTCTTGGTTCTTTTTTTTTTTTTTTTTTGTCACTGTACAGAGTGTTCACTGTTAATGTTACACAAGGGTAACTAAGAAATATATATAGGTATGAATAGCTGTGTCTGAATATGTCACAGCAAATTCCGAACAAGAAGAAAAGACCATAGAACTTGCTCTGACTGGCAGTGGATCTGTCAAGTCACAGGAGTCTTCTGTCGACCCTCTTGTGAGTTCCTTGGCTTCGGTGTGCAGCTCATGTGTTTTATGGAAGAGCTTCAGGCCCTCCAGAAAACACTAGTTTAACTCTGTCTCAATTAATTTCTTTACACATTTTTATTTTATTTCTGTGTTATTTAATAGCCAAAGCTCTTCGGGTGGTTTACAACATCACCCTTATGCCTATCAGTCATTCTCCATGGATTGGTGTTCAAGATGACTGTTCATGAAAAAGACTTTGCATTTGGAGTTCCACATGTTTAGAGCTGAAACCATCTGCAAGTTGCTGTAAGGGTGTGTGTGTGTGTGTGTGCCTGTTTGTCCCTCAAGTACCGAAGAAAAGGCTGAGGAAGAGATGGCAGCTCGCCTGTATCCATCTTGTGCATTCCTGCTGGGAGTCACACTTGAAGCAAAGACTTTAATCCCTAGATTGCTCTCACACATCCCTTGCTCTTAGCCACCACCCCAAGGAAGGGAACTCTTTTGGGTCACTCCAAAACTAGCCAGACAGCATTTCATGACTACTCTGCTAACAGGGCGTGCTTCACCTAAGTCCGGCCTGTACAGGTTGTGGGACCTATTACACTGCCTTCCTATTCACCTAGCTAGCTGGGATTCAGGGGAGTTACTATCCAGCACATCTGGAAGGTGCCAAGTTGGGAAGGCAGCATTAAGGTAAATGCAACCCACCAGCCACGTATTACAACAGAGGTAGGCCTAGACCTGCAGGCTCTCCAGACCGGATTTTATCTCCTATATTCCATGGCCATCCACCACACTGGCAGGGGCAAATGGGAGTTGTAACTGAAAGCACCTGGTCGTTATCACCTTGTCTTCTCCTGTACTATACCCTATCATCATGTACAGGCAAGGGTCCCATCTGTTTCATAACCTCATGCAATCAGCAATGTGGTTTTATCAAGTGCCTGCTGGGTTAGCAGACATGGCTGGTGCGAGGTTGCATTCAGCTGTGAGGGTCAGAAATTATCCAGGTCTTATTATAAGTAGGCATCACTTCCCTGGAGTCTGTTTTCCTTCTTGTGAGCCATTTGTTCCTAAGCTTCTTAACTTCCCAATCTAGGCCGTACATTTACAGTCTGATAATGCAGAGTGGGATGTAAGAAAAACAAACAAAAACAAGAGCCAGCTCCACCCCAGTCCCAGTGGCTTTTTCCTGCTTAGATTCCTTTTAATAGTTCAGCTCTCTTCTTACTCTACCTATCCAGAAAGCCTCACTGGTCCTTTCCCAATAACACACAGCACCCCAGTTGCTCGTCTGAAAGGAATAGAACTCCCCCATATGTCCCAGTTGAATATATGTGGATGCATATGTTTGCGCTCTGGATTGGGGAAGACTGGAAGTTAGAACGAAGGCCAGTAATAGTTACCGGGGCCATAGCTAACTGGGTAGTCAGGGTGGGTGAAGCAGGAGCATTAGCTGTAAAAGCCAGAAGAGTTAGATTTTAAAGTTACCAGCATCATCATTGTTGTTGTTATTCTGGTGTTCCCCCTCGCCTCACCCCATTCTCCCTCTGCTTCTTGCCTTCTCCATGCATGGGCCGTCTTGCAGTGGGAAGGCTTATTGCAAACCCTCTCAGGTTTACTCAGAGGGGGTCGAAGCGCCAGCCAGCCACACTCTTTCACCACCTCTTGCTGGCAAGGTCCATATGGTGGGGGGGATGCAAAGCCCCACAGTCTTCCCCTCCACGCTAGCTCTTGGTCTCTTGCTCGTCAGGGCCGTCTTGCTGCAGCTCCTCCTCATCTGACTGCACCACGGGGGTCTCGGCCCCTTCCTCGCTGGTGTCCAGGCTGTTCAGGTCCGTAGAGGCAGAGGATGTGGATGAGATCCGCGATTTGATCTCAGCTGTGTTGGGCACTTGCAGAGAAATTTCATCCTGGTAGAGGTTGGAATCTGAGCAAGGGAAGAGGTAAAAAGGGAACACACAGCTGATGAACCCTCTAGTGCTTTCTTGCCCCCCCTCCCCTTCATCTAATTGCTTCTGGCCTGCTAAACTAGGCTGTCCCATCTGCTGCAGCCTCACTTCAGGTGAAGAAACAAACGGAGCGTTTGCTACAATTTCTCAGAGGAGCACAGGCACTGTATGGCCCGACACAGAATAACACACTATACATGGAAAATGCAATTGTGTACTGGAACACCAAGAAGTAGTATGATGCTATTTGCATACTATCCCCGCTTCATTCTCAAACTCACTGCATGCAACTTACTTGCAAAGGTATAGGCACAGCAACAATTTCAAAATAATTTCTATGCTCACATTTCAGGTCAGAGGAGTTCAAATGTCATTCTGTAAGAAAACTCTTTCCACACATTTGATTGACCTGCCACAAAACCTTTGACAGTTGCAAAGAGATCCACATAAAACTCCTGGCTAGTCTGCCCCAACTTGGTATTCTCTAAATGTTTTGGATGAGAACTTCCAGCATACCTGACCATTGGCCACTCTGGCTCAGGCTGATGGGGATTGAAGTCCAAAGCATGGGGAATTATATTCTAGGGTGAGAGCCCACATAGTTGCACATTAAAGTTCACACAAAATATTTTACGAACACAGAGACACAACCCAAATATTAGAGTTGCTCCTTGCAGCCACCTACAAAGTCTGAAGGGTATGTCTGTGCTTCCTCTAGCTGTCTCGATAAGCCTTTGTAGTGTCAGAGGATCCAAGCACATGTGGATCCCTTTTATGCATCTCACTGCGCCTGACCTAATTTACCTTATTCTAAACAATCCTAACTCTGGACATTTTCCAGCCGATGCACTGTGCAGCTTTTTAGAATGTAAACAGCAAAAAGTGACTGCAGAAGCATCCCTGACAGTGCCTCTCTGCCATTGTCTTTCCCCTTAAAATGTCTCCGTTGCTGAGAACTTGGTGGCTTTTCCAGTGCCATATGTCAAGGTGACAATGAGTGCCCACATTCCGAGTTGGTAGGACTTGCCAAATTAACACTAGTATCTTGTTCAGCAGGAAGACTGTACTCTGCATCGTAGAGATGTGAGATAGTTTGTGCAGATTTCACGTATGGAATTGGGAGAAACAGTCAAAGGCTATTTATAGGATAGTGTTTATATATTTGCAGGCACAGAAGAAAGCGTACTGAGGGCACCACTGTTTTGTATTCCTGCCTGTGGGACAGTAGCACCAAGTACCCCATCCCATCCCTGTTGTGGGGGTGGGAGAGGAAACAATTCCTAGAGCTTAAGACTGTGGTTGAGAAATTGTAAATGTGGTGGGAAGCATCTAGATAAACGTTTGGGTGACAGAGTAGCCACTGAGCTAGAAGGGAGTTTATGATAGTTTTCATAGCGGCTTGCTGTGTTGCGTATTTTTAAAAATTACTCTTCTATCCTACTTTTTTTCCCTCTTGCAAAGAACCCAAGTGCCTGGCTGAGGTAATGGGCTGGATGAGGGTCAATAAACTGAAACGCAATCCAGATAAGATGGGGGTCCTCTTGGTAGGTGGGTCAGGTTTTCAGGCAAGTGATTCTGGCCCTGCCCTGGGTGGGGTTGCACTCCCTCTAAAGGACAGGGTCCGCAGCTTGGGAGTGCTCCTCGACCCAGAGCTGTCCCTGGAGGCCCAGTTGGCAGCCGTGGTGAGGACCGTTTTCCTTCAGCTTCAGCTGATCCATCAGCTGTGTCCTTACCTGCACAAGCACTGCCTAGCAACGGTGACACATGCTCTGGTAACTTCCTGGTTGAATTACTGTAATGTGCTCTATGTGGGGCTGCCCTTAAAGATGGTCCGGATACTTCAATTGGTTCAGAACAGAGCTGCCAGGTTGCTGTTGGGGGCCGGTCACTATTCTCATATAATGCTGGTCCTTTATCAGCTTCACTGGTTTCCAATTGAAGCCCGGGTCCAATTTAAGGTGCTGGTATTGATGTATACGGCCCTAAATGGCTTGGGACCAGGATACCTAAAGGAACACCTTTTTCCCCATGCCCACCCACCCCTTAAGATCTGCAGCAGAAGCCCTGCTCCAGGAACCCTCCTTGAAGGAGGTTAGGAGAGAACATACTCAGAGGAGGGCCTTCTCTGCGGTGGTGCCCCGGCTATGGAATGCGCTCCTCAGAGAGGTCTGCCTGGCACCAACGTTATATGCTTTTTGGCACCTTTTTATTCTTCTGTACTTTTAATGTTTAATTTTAACTGTTCTTTTATGCTCAGTTTGTGGATCATTTATATTGTATTATTTGGGTATCTATGCATTTATGGAATTTGAACTGTAAGCCATCCTGAGACCCACTGGGTATTGGATGGGGTAAAAATTACCCAAATAAAATGAATAAAATAAACCCAGGGCAGCCTACGTGGGCCTCTCCTCTCTGTTGTATGCTTATAAGAGCTCCAGGGATGGTAGGTCAGACTGAGAGTCTGCCACTGGCCCACAGTCCTCAGTGAGCTTCATGGCTAAGGAGGCATTACAGCCCAGATCTCATGATCCCCAGGCCAACACTCTAACTGCCACAACAGGTTGGCTTACCGTTAATTATGATCATGTTCCAAGTTCACACAGTCTACTCTACTCACCGCACCTTCCTTTGGTTCCTTCCCTCATTGCCAAAATAATCAAAATTATTTGAAAAATTGTGTTTTGAGAAGCAGAATGAATTGTGCAATGTAACAGATGGAATTTTGTTTAATTTACATATTCTTTCTCTGGGTTGCTGAATTGGTGTTGTCTTGGAACAGAACATGGCACCCTAGGGTGCCATATGGTTCAGACAGCTCAAAATAATGTTTTACAACAGTTTTTTCCCACTCCGCACTGGTTCTGTGCAGTTGCGATAATCCCATCTGTTAATCAATCATTCACAAAAGGCATCACTGAATATACAACACAGTGACCCACCGAGAATGAGGGCAAGCTGAACCAATGACCCCATAACCCCCCTATTAAGAGCGGGTCTGCTTGTCTGCCCAGATCTCCTCTAGCAATCCTAAGCCTTGTCATTAGGCAAAGCACATGCCTTACATTCCTTCTCCATGTTTGGCAACGGGAGCTTTTGTGCATGGCTCATAAATAACGCAACTTGGAAACCTCATCAGTGAGGCTGTTTAACTGGAACGCCAGAGGCTTTGCTAGTAAAGTGTTTGAATCACTTTACTCAGTGTGACTCACTGTAAAAGGACAGGCTTTGTTGCCTTCCTGTTGACCTCCTCCTGTACAGAACAGAGTCTCCAAGCATGAGGATAATTATGCCTGGGATGAAAGTAGTGAGAGCTTCAAGCCCATGCAGTCTGTACCAGCTTTCCGCAACCTGCTGTTCTCCAGATGTGTTGCACTGCATTTTGCATCATAGTGGAGAACACCAAGTTAGGTAAGGTTATCTATATAACTGTAAACTGCTCAGAAGACAAGTAATGCTGCTGGCTATCCAGAATAATAAAGATTGATTAGATCCTGAGGTGCTTGGATGGTTTATTTATTTTTTTCTTCCTTGCATTGTTCAAATCATCTTCCTGTTTTCATTCTGTGCAGTCAAACATACTTTTACTGCTAGTAGTGCTTCTGTGGAAAAGGAAATTATCTTTAATGTTGATAAGTAGCATTTCTATGGGTCAGGGAACATGGCAGCATTTTGTGTTCTCCACAAGACATTTAGCCCAGCTTTTATGTTCTTACAGCCTTACTCCATGCACTAAGATTTTTAATTTGTATTCCACCCAGAGAATTTTGGCTGTTGGGTGGTTTAAAAGCAAAATGAAAATAAAGACAGCTGAGGTCACAGAGTGGTGGGATGAAAGGGGTGATGTGGTTTATTCTTCATTGTGGAATAAACATGACTTGAGGTTACCAGAGCTTGATGCATAAACGATAAATTCAGCAAGGGAAGGCCAAATAAGTACCTTGCTAAACGGGTTGCCAGGTGAACAGAATCCCACACATGTACATGCACATACCCCCTGCACTTAAGCAGGCCTTGCCTGGAACCACCGCATCAGGCCACAAAGACGTTCACATCACAGACACTGAATGTTATCCCTTGTTAGTTACTGTTGTCAGTGATGCAGAAGCAGGAGAGGGGAAAACAATGACAACCCTGTTTGCTGTCAGCATCAATTACCAGGGAAGCGAGGCCTGACCACCAAGAAGAGGATGGGAAGAGCACCCAAGGGCCACACGGAGGCTTTCCTTTTCCTTGGAAGAGCTGCTGCTTCTTTTCTGAAAGCCCCAGACAGAGCTATTCATACAAAGTAAGAAGGGGTGGGCAGGGGGGTGGGGTGAACAAAGCTCTACTGCCTAGCAAGAAGTATACGATTTCCAGGCAACAGCCTTCATGGGTGTTCCATTATCCACTTCCCAGAACAGGCAACATGGCTGCATTTAAGGAAAATGCAAGGGGGTGAGAAGGAAGGGAAAAGAAGAGGCACTACCAGGTTGAAGGTGAAGTGGGAAGTTCCCAGCAATTGGGGCTTTTATAGAACTTTCCCCATGCCTCAGATACAGAATTTTACAGAGGTTCCAGACAATGCCTTCCATCTGTAACCCTCCCATGTTTTCTTACCAGGAAAAAAAGACATGGAAGAAGAGACAAAAGCTAAATGATTACTTTTAATTAGTAGCCCTAGGACCCCCACCATCTGTAAGCACCCATGTCTTAAAAATAGGCATAAGAAAGGGGAGGACATGCCTGTCAACAGTCAGCATCTGGACACCGAAAGATGCATTCCCATAAGCCACCTCCATAGTGAGATGCCTTAAATTTAGCCATTGAAATAGAAGAGCATCTCCCTATGTATACATCAGTTCATGAAAAATTATGGAACTCTTGCTTGGCTGTGCAGAAATGGCCACCCCACTGCCTGAGGCCCTAAAGAACATAAAGTTAAGGCCACAAGTAGGTTTCCGGGTACCCAGTACGTGCAGGACTCGGAAGACATCCCAGTACATAGGGGATGTCAGCCTAAGCTTATTTTTCAAGCAGTGCACAGCCTAACTGCAAAAGCCCTCCGCAAGCAATGACTGCAGACATCTGGCAAGAGTGTTCCGACCCTCCCTTCCTGGTAGCCTGCTGGGCTGGGAGAGAGCAGACGAGAGCAGGCCCAGCTCCACACTGGACGGGGCCCTGAGGAGGCATCTTCACTTCTTACTCCAAGTGGGTTTAGCAGACACTGGGGACGGGGGGCCGAGTGCGGAGCCTATGCATTGGCACTACTTGGGCTCCACCACGGCGCCTTTAAAATAAGTATTTCCTGGTGCTGCACTGCGCACTGGGATATTTTTTTAAATCTGGGGTGGGCAGCCTTCAGGTTCACAGGAACCTTGAGATCCACCATTAAGACTCAGGAACAAAAAGACCATACAATTAGAATTCTTTAATTAGAATTTAAATGGAATTAAAGAAATCTTTAGAATTAAGCTCTAAGCCCAGGAGTTTGTATAAAGTATTGGAACTCATAGTTCTTCCAGTGAAATATCCCACTCCAAGCTTCCTTAAGCTATTTTGTTGCTTCTGCTCTTAAACTATTAGAAGTCAGAAATCCTTGAAAACATACAGCATGCCACCCAGAGATCTACTTTCTGTACACTCCTGTGTGCAGGGACACATACAGCTGCGTTACACTGAGTCAGTCCATCTAGCCCAGTATTGTCAACACTGGCTGGCAGCAGCTGTTCAGGATTTCAGGCAGGGTTCTACCCCAACCTTCCTATCCTGAACCGAGACATTCTGCATAGTCTTTATGCAGAAGTTCCCATTGCTCAGGCACAAAAGAGCATATTGATTTTCAAAACACTCTAAGTGGGACCGATGCAGCAAGCCCCTAATCCATCCGTTGCTGTACCAAGTTTGACCACATCCATTGGCCCAGAGTTGTTCCATCGCATTCCACTTTTATTCCATCATCACTTTTTTATTTGGATATGTTCACATGGGTTGAAAATGAAAGGCATGTGCTTTTCAATGACACAGAGTAGGATGGTTTTGAAAAAAAAGCAGAAAGCCATGGAGTGGTCTAGATGGTATAAAGCAATGCCTGGTGATGTGTGTTTGAATTTTAAAAAATAGGAAGAAGAAAGGATTGAGAGAGCAGTTTATGCAAGCTGAAAATGCGATCATTTTTGAGCTAACACAGTGATGTGCGATGTCTTCTGGGTTTAAACTAATTGATTTCAAGGGCATTTGGACTCTCAGCTAGAGGTGGGAAGCTATGACTCAAATGCCAATGAATTTTTCGACACCCAACTCTTAAAAGCTTCTGTCTTCTCCTTTGGCCGTTTAATAATTTGCCTTGGATTTTATCTCATAAATTCACAACAATGTCTCTCCAAATGGGCATGCCTAGACATGGAACATGTTCATTTGGTCCAGGTCTGTATTCAGAAGTTTTGATAAATCATAAAAAGAGAGGTTTCATTCTCTACTTTTGTTTTGGTAAATTGTGTACTTTCTGCAAACAAATGCAGAAAGGATGACACCCCAGATAGTTAAGTTGGAAGAGTTAATTAATTAATTTCTAACCTGCCCTATTAGCCATAGGGCTTTCTGTGCATAGATTTTATTTTTATTTTATTTGTGAGTCTGCCTCATGTAATACATCCATTGATCTTAAATCACATAGATTTTTTTTCAGCCTGTGATTTAAAAAAAAAATCTATTGCAGTTACAGAAAAAAGTTTGGATGCAAGTGGGGTCTGCTAAAGGTTTAAAAATTCATGGTGGCGTCACGCCATACTTCTAGTAGCCAGGAAACAAACTTTGTACCTCAAAATCTCAAACTTATGCTGTTTTTTTGCCTTGTTCGTCTGTTCATTCCAGTCCCCCCTCTCATTCAAGCAGCTGAGGGCAGTGTACATTGTCCACCTTCTCCTCTTCACTGTATCCTCACAACAACCCTGTGAGGTAGTTTAAGCTATGAGTGAGTGGCCCAAAGTTAGCAACTGAGCCTCAGGTATGAGTGGAGACTAGAACCTGGATCTCTCACCTTGAAGTCCATCACTCTGACCTATGCCCCACACCGGCTCTCTTTAGTACTGTCCTATACCACAACATGCTGTAACACAACAAGGGGACTGCAGGTGGCGCAGTGGTTTAAACTGCTGTGCTGGTAGATCAAAAGGTTGCCGGTTCGAATCTGCACAACGGGGCGAGTTCCCGTTGCTCCATCCCAGCTCCTGCCAACCTTGCAGTTTGAAAGCATGCAAATGCAAGTAGATAAAAAGGTGCCACTTTGCTGGGCAGGTAACAGCGTTCCGCGCACCTCGGTGTTTAGTCATGCCGGCCACATGACCACGGAGACTGTCTGTGGACAAACGCTGGCTCCCTTGGCTAGGAAACGGAGATGAGCACCGCCCCCTAGAGCCAGGCATGACTGGACGTAACGTCAAGGGGAAACCTTGACCTTGACCTTGACACCACAACAAGCCATAAAACAGAGTTGGATGAGGTAGGAAACTGACGGGCATAGCTATGGGAGTTCTCCATACCTGGCAGCAGAGGAGTGACGTTGTTGTTGTCCTCTGTCCCACAGCTGAGGAACACATCCACAGTGTCTTGGTCAGAGAGATCCATCATGTCCATTTGTTCCAGCATGTCCACATTCACCTCCATGGAAGAAATGCTGCCTAAGGGAGCTTACAAAGACACGGCAGCCCTCATTGGTGTTGCACTGGTGCATACGCATAACCGAACATGTAACACCAGAAGCCAGATTGATAAATGCTTACACCTGCCACCACGGATATGGTTTCTTGTGTCTATTTCCTAACAAAAACTTGGTCATGAGCAAACAATGCAAAGTTGCTGACTTTTCTCATGCAGGTGGCAGGCCCAAGCCATTTTGCTGACTGAGGCAAGTGCCGGGTTAGGGTTACCTTTCCCATTGCATGCCCAAAGCTAACTGCACCAGCAGTGAATCCTGTTTGAGCCCTGCCAACAGTGCAGAATCTTCTGCCTGCACCTCAGGGAACAGGGGTGCTTAGGGGTCCTGGACTAGCCCCAGCTCACCCATACCCAGCTCTAGCCAGTAAGAGAAGGGAGAGCAATGAGGAGCTTAGGGGAGCTGCCGCCTCCTTCCAGCCTCTACTACCTGAAGTAATTGCTCCCCCCTGCCGAAAGGTAGAGCTGGCTCTAGCAAGCCATACAATCGTTTTTATAGCCTCTGGCAGGAGCTTTGGACCTTAGTCCCACAGGCAAAATCCAGCCCACCAAGAATCCCAGCCAGGCCTTTTGGGTTTCTCCAGACACTTCCCCCTTCATGCTGTCCCCACCCTCTCTCCCCCCAGCTGCTGAGGGTTTTTTTGGCAGTTTTGTATCTCTTGGGCTTGGGATCCTCATTCTAAAAGACTGAATTGCCTCTGCTAAGGCTGAGCTGCTAGCAGGAAGAGCTTAAAGCTACAATATACTAGTATGTGGTTGGTCGGTCCAGTTGCCTTTGGCATTCAGCCCCACATACCATTGGAGCACAACCTCTGAGAGCTTCTTCAAAGTGGAATTTGGCCCTTGCCTGAAAGAGGACACCCCTGGTCTACAGTTTCATGCCTCCAGTCCCAAGTGGCACTTACGTCTCCTGTGCTCTATCTGCAGATGTGACACTGGAAAAAAGAAATCGACATCATGCTGGAAAACCTCCTCAAAGAATCTCTGCCTCTCACGTAGTTTGAGCTGCTGTTGCTGCATCTGCTCTGCATCTAATCCCCGCTGCCCATTTTCCATGTCGGCTGCAAAGGAACCAGAGAGAGGAGAGGTTGAGGCAAGAGAATAACAGAGAATCAGAGCTAATCTCCTCCCTACTCCATTTCTAAAGAGTAACTCCTCAGAACGTAAACAAGCTAGAGGCAGACAGTATTTTAAGGAGAGACTTTGCCTCTCTTCCTCCAATTTTCCAAGCTCTGAAATAATTTGTAAGCCTTTCTGTCTTTCTCCAATCTGTGAATTTGGATTGTCATCCCATTACCCTTTAAAAGCCACTGACAGCTTGTCCAGGCAGCAGCTTTCTGTACAGTGTTCATAACCAGTGCAAGACAACACAGCTAGTTGCACAGACTTGCAGGAATCCCCCACCACCCACCTCTCTGCTGTTAACTCTGGCCTGAGATTGGAGATACTGGGGATTCCATTGCATGCTATTTTCCCTGTTCAGCTGGGAAGGAAAGTGGTCCACAGGGGAGTCCTCATTGTTAGTACCAATCTGGGATCAAAGATAGCAGTGGGGATTCCTCCAGCAGGTGCTGGGAAAACCCAACAAGGCTCCTCAGGCCTGGTGCAGAATATCCATGAACCAGAAGTTGCACAGCCCAGTGCTACCATGATAACTTCCACCCATAATGAAGAGGAAAGCAAGCATTCAGCTTAGGGAAGCATTAGATCAGGGCTGGACAGAAAGTAGATCTACAAATGCTCTAAACTGCAACTCCCAGAAGCCTCTGAAAACATGGTCAACGGTCAGGAATGCTGCAAATTTAGGTTCAAAAACACCTGGAGATCTACATTCTGTCCATCCTTGCTCTGGACAAAGCCATCATGTGAATTAGCAGACTAACAGCTACATAGAGCTTTGTCCTCTCCTGTCCACACTATCTTCACATTTTGTTATCTGGTGATCCTCAAACATACCAAATGGTGATAGTAAAAACAAACAATGGTGGACATTTAAGGATTGAATATTTACATTAAAGTATTTGTATATGTGTGCTAAAAGCAAAAACAACTCAGTAAAAGGTTTAATCATGTCATAGCTGAATAAAAGGTTTACATGTTAAGATCTGTTTTCAAGTTCTTAAAACTCAGCTCAGAATTGGAAATGTTTCTCTTCATTAATTTGCAAGGCTGCACTTGCAGATATCTTAGAAAGTGGCCTGCTTGGAGTTGAAAACTCAGGCTTTATTTGTTTTATGGAGCTGCAAGAAATACCTAGATCAAAGCAAAGAGTCACCTTCCTTGTAAACTCATTAGAATTTTACCAGAATTGGAATTGCACTTTGCTGTTACAAAATGCTTCTGATCCAACAAGGGACAACTGAAATCACGGACAACATGGGTTAGACAAACTAACTAGAATAAAAACCAAGGTATGGCTTTCAATTTTGGGGGGAAGGGAGATGAGCTTTTGGTTACTTTCTGCCTGAAGCAGAAAGGATGGTTACCAAGTCTGCTTGGTCCCAGCATTTTTAATACATCTGCCCACAAGTTTCTTCACTTCTCTAATCCATCTGTACACTTCTCAAAGTACATACAAAGATTTGCTCTTGAACAGATAACCCAGTTCCTGCTCTCTCTCTCTCTCTCTCACACACACACACCTCATTCTGTTAATTTTTTCCATGATGCAAACCACAAGGGAGGCAAAGAGGAGAAAATACCAAATTCCATCAAGAAGCATAAATAATCCCAGTTTGGTATGAAGCTGTTCTGGAGGTCTTTCTTCCCATCTTTTTGGGAATTCCAGAGAAGAAAGGATCAAAGCAAAGGAGGAGGAGGAGGAGGAGAGGAGGAGGAGGAGGAGGAGGAGGAACATGGATCAGTCTCTAGACCTTGTGTATGAATTGTTCCATAGCTTATCTCAGATGGCTCCAGGCATCAAGAACATCTCAGCTCCTCCATTCAAAAACAACTGAGGCAGGGACCAGCCTGACTGGTATAAGGAAAATGTGATTACTGAGCCGGGCAGCACCATAACCAAGGAAACCAAACAAACAGTGCAAATTCTAATTGTTTCTGTCTGAGTAGTCATGTCTGTTGCTTCAGGGAAAATTTCAGCCAAACAGCGACAACTGCTGAACTTTGTGGCTGCTGAGGGGAAAAGAGGTAGGAGGATAGAAAAGGCAGTGCTTCTCTCCTGGGGCCAAGCTCGAAGTTTCAAGTAGTAATTCAGCAGTTCTTGTAGCAGGTTGCAGAAATGCAGTCTCTGCTCAGGGCTTGCATGGGCTTTTTTAATGCACATTCACCAGCTAACATACATGCCTCTCTTAACTCAGTAGTCATGTGAAGGGCAGGCATGCATGAAAACACTAGGGGCAGGGGCAGCCGTAGCCTATGAGGAGGCGGAGGTGCAATTATATTCCAAAATGCATTTATTATTCTTGATTACAATTATTTGCATGCCACCTTTCAGGAGACATTTCCTAGCATGGACCCAGCTGGAGCAAGTTCTGTGTTCCCCTGCACCTGCCTCATCTCCTCTGCTGGAATTTTTCTCACCAGACACTTGTTGCTAAAAAGCCCTGCCAAATTCAACATGGAAAAAGAAGAATGGCCTAAACAAGGAGGAGAAGTATCCCTACATCCCTTTTGGCAGCTTCCTCAGAGACTAGCAGTAGTAACAGTATGCTTCATGCAGTGCATCCAACATATTCCAGATGAATAACTTATGGGAATTGTTAATACGGAGGGACTATAACTCAGTAGTAGAGCACATCATTTGCATGCAGGAAAAAAAAAAAAGGTTAGATAGATCAAAAGATCAAGATCTCTTCCTGGAGACTTGGTGGCAGTCAGAACAGATCAGGGTGGGCAGATCTGGATCTACTAATACATCAGGATACGCTGATGATGGGGAAGCCTGGTTCATTTGAGCATGACAGTCTTTCCACCTGCTTCCAATCTGATGACTGGAAGTGAGCCAAGCCAGGCCTTTTCTCTTCAGATTTCTATTTCTAAGATGAGCTACAGTTTGTGTATTTTTACACACTAAGGGGATTTCCAGAAATGTCTGCAACTTCATTCAAATCAAGCATTTTGCACAAATTGGAGGCTGGAAACTATGTAGTTTTAGCATGATCTATGCAAATTGCTCTAGAACAGCATATTTTGCATCTTTCATCTTGCTTAAATAGCACAAATAGTGTGATTTGCACAATTTTTTTCAGTGTGCTGTTACCCATCACAGAGAATCGCACAGCAATGACCTGGAGCCAGCTCAGAGCTAATAGACAAGAATTTGGAGAGGGGGTGTGCAAATCATGACAATCCATTGGATTTTTACCCTGCTATTGGATTCCATTTGAATCGGTAATTTCTGGGTGACTTGCCATAGATCTGCAAGGATTTCTGACTCCCAGTTGTTTCATGATAGCAGCAAAGTGACCTTGCATACAGTTCAAGTTATTTTGCTGACATGACTAAAGCCTGGAATAACCTCAAGCAGATTTTGTGTGGTAGGACTGTGAGCTTCATGTTCCTAGTTCCAAGTATGTGTGCGCACAGGACGGAAGCCATAGGGCACTGAGCTAGTGCTACTCCATGTCTCTTTAGCTAGGGCTGTTTCCCTTTGTTCCAGCCAAGCCCAGCTGTGTCACGACTGGAATCCATTACAAACTGGCTAGACAAGTCAGCTGCTTAGCCTGGTTTTCCCACAGAAAGTGATCAGCAATTATAAGAGCAAAGGAGTGATAAAAAGGACTGGTGAAGGGGGCGGGGAGAGATTGCTCCAGCAACAGTCCCTCCAAGGCTAAACGCCAGAGGTGGAGGTTGTTTCGTTTCACAACCATACTGGGAGCATCAAGGAGTTGTCTCTGTGGCTTTCGTTCCAGAACTACACCCTAAAGAAGCCCTTTACTTCCCACCAAGATGCAGTCTGTTTGAACCAACACAGTAAGAAATCAACAGGGAGGAGTTCTGCTTATGAGCTTGTCTGGATGTGCTCTCCTTTCCAAAAAAGGATAAAAATCCTGAGCGGAGCTAACCTAAATTCTACACCAAGAAGAGCTAAATCATGCACTGTATAAGACACGTTTTGCATAATTTGCTGTCTTCCTTCTAGCTGTGGGGATAGACATGGAGTGATCTGGGGTTCAGAAGATGCAGCCCAAAGCCAACTGAAATGCTAATTTAGCCCCTTCCCATGGCTTCAAGAGAATCACTGTCCTCCACATTTTAAACTCTGGAAACCTGCCTAACAGCAGCAACGTGAAACCCCGATTCCCAGGAAGCTCATTCTGTGTTTCAGTAGCAACATTTGTGCAGGATTGCCAAAGGTACATATAATAATCCCGCGTACGTGAGAGCCATGAGCAGGTCGGGTGGCTGGATGGTGTGCCTTATAGGTTGGCAGCGCTGGGTGCAAGCTGAGACCCAACGCCCTGGTAAGGGGCCCACTGCTAACCTGGAAACACACAGGCGTTGCTTCTTGTCCTTTACGCTGCTGCTTCCTGCTCATTTAAACTCCCCCAGCAAGTGAGCAGCGAAAGGAGGGAGAAAAAGCACAATCTCTGCTCACCTTGTCATCTTCTTCTGGGAGGCTGCACAGTTGGGACCAAAGAAGGGCCACAGCACATGGGCAGCAACAGTAATGTGTCTTGTCCAGCAGCAGCACAAGCCACCTTTCCTGATGCACGTGCACACGCACACACACTCTGCCTAGGCTATAAATATTGGGTGTTCTGGTGCCTCTCTGTATTGGGCCATGGTCACATTGCTCTCATCAGTGCTGCAGGTTTGGCTTTGTATTCTCTGCTGTACTCCAGGCAAGGAATGTTCAATCCATTTGAATTCTGGCTGAGAATATCAATAAAATCATCTTTTGGAAACTGTGATGATACAGCCGGTATTAGAATTTCCCTCTTTGATTGGGAAACAGTGAAAATGGTGCCTGTAGCCAGCGTGGAGAACCAATACTGAGTAGTGGTTGGAAGGTCAGCGTACAATTGGAGAGGCATGCATTTAAATCCCCACTCAGTCGTGATGCTTGACTGGATGTTCTTAATGTGGCACAGTGGTTAGA